CCTGTTTCACTGATCCCTCTCCTCTCTCCCTTTTCCCCCCGCGAACCTCCCATTTTCCCCTCCCCCTTCCCCCCTCCTCCCCGCTCCCCCGCGCTTCCGTTTCCCCCCTGCGCGCGCCCCCCCAGGCACGTCGTGCGACTACCGGCGCGGCAAGTGGGCGTACGTGAAGGGGTACAAGCCCGCGTATAGCGGCGACTGCAAGTACATCCGCTCGGGCTTTAACTGCCAGCGCAACGGGCGCAAGAACATGGGCTTTATGAGCTACCGCTGGAAGCCCGCCGGCTGCGCGCTCCCGCGCTTCTCCGCCAACACGTTCCTGTCGCTGCTGAAGAACAAGGTGCGGTGCGGTTGGATTGGATTGGCAAGTTGTGTGCCATTGTAACGAGGTGACTTTTGAGTCGACTCAAAAGTCACCGTCGCGCTTCCGCGCTTCTCCGCCAGCACGTTTCTGTCGCTGCTGAAGAACAAGGTGCGGCTGGATTGGATTGGATTGGCAAGTTGGTTGGTTGGTGCCCCCTGGGGGGGCAGAGTCTTTGGCCGTAGAAGGGCAATGTCACTCATTGGTCACTCACAGGTTCTCAGTCAACCTGCTCACAGGTTCTATGTCACTCTTCCCTTGTTTTCCTCCCCCTCATTCCACTCTTTTCCCCACCCTCCTCAGGTCCTCTTGATTTCCTTCCCCACCTCCCCCTACCCCCTCCCCTTCCCCCTTTCCCTCTCCCTCTCCCTCTCCCTCTCACTCCCTCTCCCTCTCCCTCTCCCTCTCCCTCTCCCCTCATCTTTCCCCCCACTCCCCTCCCCTCCCCCCGCCCCCCCCCCCCCCCAAACCCTTCCACCCCCCTCTCCCCCCAGATCATCGCGTTCATAGGCGATTCGATCTCGCGCAACTTCCAGCAGTCTGTTTTTGAGGCGCCTCAATAACAGCCTCCCCCCTCCCCCCCCCCTGCGCGCAGATCATCGCGTTCATAGGCGACTCGATCTCGCGCAACTTCCAGCAGTCCATCTCGTGCCTGATCGCCGCGCAAGTCACGGTCGAAGACTGGACGGGCCACCTGGGCCCGGACTCGGTCATAGGGCTCAAGATCCCCGCGCACAACGTGCGCATCCTCGCCTTCATGACGCCCTTCCTCGTGCGCTACTCCAACGAACCCTGGGCCTTCGAGCTCTACGGGCTCAAACCCCCTACGAACCAGCTGATCAAGGGCGGGAATGGCGCCGGGCAGTCGTATGTGATCTGGACGGACGTTCTGGATTCCGCGTGGACGGTGCTGTTTCGGCAGCTGGATGTGGTGGTGTTTATGTCGGGGCACTGGTTCCTGCAGGCGCAGGGGAACACGGACGTGCGCGCGCTGCAGTTTGTGACGAACAACAAGCCGGTGAATCTGAATGGGCAAGACGCGTACCGAGCTGTCATCAACAGGGTGAGTCGGGTGGTGCTGGATGTGGTGGTGTTCATGTCGGGGCTCTGGTTCCTGCAGGCGCAGGGCAACACGGACGTGCGCGCGCTGCAGTTTGTGACGAACAACAAGCCCGTGAATCTCAACGGCCAGGATGCGTACCGCGCTGTCATCAGCAGGGTGAGTTTTGGTGGTGGCTCTAGCACTGGCGGTTTTTGAGGCACCTCTGAAGTCGCTGCAGTTTGTGACGAACAACAAGCCAGTGAATCTCAACGGCCATGACGCATACCGGGCTGTCATCAACAGGGTGAGTTCCGTGCTCCTAGTGCTGCTGGTGGTGCTCGTGGGCTGATGCTGGTGGTTTGGTGCTGCTGCTGCTGCTGTTGCTGCTCTGTCTCCTTCTGTTGCTCGGGCGTTGCTGCTCTCGCTGATTCCCAACCCATACTGAATCAATCCCTCTCTGTCCACCCCCTTTGATCCTCTCACCTCATCCCTCTTCCCCCTCTCCACCCGCCCTTCCCCTTGCATCAGGTGAAGAAGTTTCTGGGAGTAGAAGCCAAATTCAAGGGCATTCCCACGTGGCTCACGTACAGCCTGTCCCACTACCGCTCCTCCACCGATATATTCAGTCGACTCAAATATCCCTCCCATCCCTTTCCCTCCCGCTCCCTTCCCCTCGATTTCATCAGGTAAAAAAGTTTCTGAATGTCGAGGCAAAATTCAAGGGCATTCCCATGTGGCTCACCTACAGTCCGTCCCACTACCGCTCCTCCACCTACCCCCCTTCCTGCCCGGACTCGAAGCCACTCTCCTCCGTCTCCCTGGACCAAGCAGCCACTCAATTCCGCAGCATAGAGCTGGAAATGCTTCAAAAAACGCGGTTCAGCGTGCTCGACTTGACGTCCATGTCCGGGTATAGGCCGGATGGGCACGTGCAGATGTACTATGGGCCGGTGAAGAACAGTAAGACCAAGTGGGACTGCTTGCACTGGTGCCTGCCGGGTGTTCCGGACGCTTGGAGCGATGTGCTGCAGCTGGTGCTGCAGTCACGGCTGCGGTGAGGACGGTTGAATGGGGACGGGAGATGAAGGAGTTCGGGAGATGAGGAGATGTTGAGGAGATTACGAGGAGAGTATTGGGAGGTACGAGGTGGGATTGTCTGTGTGTGGTGTGGAGAGACAACTCGGGCAGCCATGTCAAAATCAAGCAACGGCATTTGGAGCTGGGGAAAGGGTGTTCCTATGAGACCGGATTGGGGCGGAGGGGTGGGATGACAGGTGATTGATCAGCTGCTGATGGTTGGTGGTAACGCTTGTGGTGCACAGCGGATGGATGGGTGATGAAGTGAAGCTGGAAAGGTGACAGGGGATCAGCTGATGTTGGCAAATACAGAACTGGTGGTGCGTTGATCGCATATTTTTTAAAGCGTAAACTATATGGCGAGCATTATTAATGCATCACGCCGTGGCCCTAAAAGTGATTTGGTTTGTACGCCCTCGTGAGAGATCCACGCGTGTGAAAGCCTCGTTATGCCTAGCTAAGGGGACATGCCCAGACAAGCACGGGCTCAAGCAAGGAGCATGGAGGCGAGGATAGATGCACCTGTTATAGAAATAATGTTGAATCCCTCATTGGAGCTGAACGATGACGTTAGAGTGGTATGTGTGGTTTGAGTAAAAGGATTGTATCGTGTAACCTCGTTATTATTATAGATAATTTTTAATTTTGTTGTTCGTATGTTTGTACCTTCGAGTGGAGTATGTCCATTGGATAAATGATGGTTCTTTTTGGCGAATCGTGTCAGTGAGGATATTTGTTTGCGTCACACCACCACCACAGGATATTGGGGTTTTTCTTGAGGCTGCGTTTCCCTTTTTTCTTTCATTCTTACCCACAAACGGGATAACCACAAGTGATAACCTTTGCTACCGGGTCCCCCAAAGAGCACCGTCGATTTTGCTTTTTGGAGGATTGAACACAACATACAATGCATCCATCCACAGTCGTAACTGCACGGCCATTGAATTCTCGAGGGCATTGAACTAAAACCCTTCATGCACGTATCCCTTTCCATCAAGTGCAGTTTATCCCACCCGACTTTTGACAAAATTGGGGGAGTGGTATGTTTTCGTAAAAGTCGCTATATAGAGGAAATGCTCGCTCGGGGTGGGAGCCTTTCTGTTGCCTTCAGGTGTTTTCTCTGGGGCCACTGTTGCCATAGAGCGGGGTCGACGTTTTCATGTGCAGAGAAACAGCCAAGCGTGTGAAGCAACAATGATGCAAGCAAGATGTGAGACCACGTCATGGTGAGTGGTGCTCCACTGCGACGTGCCACGGCTGCTGATTTCTTGGGGCAGGCGTCGTTTGAGACTGTGACATGGTGTCGCATCGCATCGCATCGCGTCGCACTGGTCTCCACTTCGATTCCACGACCCCCAGAGCATCGCTATTCCCGCATCGAAATCGTCCGTGAGAAACGCTTGGCCGTCGATATGCGCAAACGTATGCCGACTGTCGTCGCACATGCACGGGGCTTGTGTTGGTTACATCGCGTCGCACCACATTCCAGGAACCGCCGCTATTTCTGTAACAAAGTGCACAGTTCAGTTTCGGAGCAGAATGGTCTTGTTACACATCCATCCACTGGGCCGCCCATATGTCCTCCACACTGGCGTGTTTTGGTTTTTCTTCACCCAGGGTGATGATGCTTCTAGAACGGTTCATTACGTGATTTTGGACCCAACCACTCGGTATTTCATCTCGTTAACTACTTGCAACTTAGTGCAGGCAGGGTGCGCGATTCCTCTAGTGCGCAAATCCTTCTCCGCACCCTGGGAACCCTAGCAATCCCCCCAGCGCTCACCTCGCATTCCACCTGGCACTGTGCCGCGGGAAAGTCCCCCCAACCTCAGACCCCTGCCCCACCCCACTCCCCTAGCACTGAGCTGACCGACCAGCGTTCCTTGTACACTGTTACACCCCCCCCTTGCTGCATAGGCTTCGTTGGAACTCAAGCCAAACCCGATCTACCTCACCGTGACCAGTGTGAGAGGAGGGCAGGCGATTTTGCAACAGCGAGCATCCGCCCCGCTCCAAGGCTTGCTTGCACAGCACCGAACACAACAACCTTCTTTCTGGGACCAAACCAGACAGATTGCTATCCAACGCGCGCCATAGCTCAGTGCGCCGCCAGAATGTTGACCTAGAATATCAACGCTTCACCGAGCTCGATGAAAGTTTTGCTTCCAAACTCTGTTCCGTCGCGAAACAAGCAAGCTATCTTCAGAATGTAAACCTCCGCCTATCAGTAATCTCTCCTAGTCATTCTGCGGGTCGACCTTACCGCCTTTAGACCGCTTCAATCCTCAGTCAGCATTGGTCTAGACCAGACCGCCTCGGTATTGCCTCGTGAGCTAGCTTCCGCTTTGATATCGCGCGCCAGTCCGCGGACAGCTCGTTCGCAGCGGAGCGCTGCAACGAATCGCACGTCTTACCTCGCGATTCCTGAGAATCGTCTAGTTGATAGAACCAGAGCATCGTGCCTTTCTCGTACCCTTCTCATACTATCCTTCTAGTCGTCACACTCGTCCGAGCGTCGCAATCATGTCTCGCCGTCGATCTCCACTCGTCTGGACGCCGTTCTGCGTGCCTGCGGCGGTCTCCTTCCTCGTGCTCCTGCAAGTCGCCTGCCCGCCAGCCGCCCTTGTCCAAGGTACCGTCTCGAGAAGCAGCAGAGGTTGAGGAGCCGTTTATGAGGGAATTTTTAGGGCGCGTTTCGACGAGTTCTTTGAGGGGGGGAGGGGCTCTGGAAGGGGCCGGGACGATGTGCGGGGAGAAGGAGAGTCGAGGGGTGCATAGTGGCGAGTTTCTGTGTGTCTCAAATAATGTACCTTCACTGACAAGGGACAGCAATTGATGATGATTACCAACCGGAAGAACGGAATGGTTGACGATGGAACAGCCAGATGACGGCGGCAGTAGTGGCGGACGGGCGGCGCTTGCGGGTTGCCGTATTCGGGTTGCCGTATTCGGGTTGCCGTATTCGGGTTGCCGTATTCGGGTTGCCGTATTCGGGTTGCCGTATTCGGGTTGCCGAGGTGGATAGGGAACCGGAACACCGATGGGTAGAGTAGACGGTTACGGAGTAATGACGCGAGGGGTGGGTTGAGTAATCGAGGGAGGCCGAAACGCGGCCTTGAAGGGCTAACCAACAGCCCAAAAGCACCGCGCTCCTTTAGAGAATAGATAAAAGTTTGTCACGTAGCGCGTAGGCGCTCCTAAGGGTGGTTCCGGCGCAGGGGTGTGCGGGAGAATGTAGCGAGGGAAGAGGGGGTGGGAGAGCCAGGGGTGGGAGAGGCGCGTGTTTTGCGGGTTGGGTTAGGTTTTTGCGAGGGACAGGAGAGTTGTCGCGTCGTTGCAACGTGCCTGTGGTAGTGGCGACGGCGCCAGAGTCTCACGGGAGGAGTGAGCGACTCGTTCTTCCAGTTACCAAACTTCTCGCTCTTCTCGTTCCTTCTAGTTTCCTCGTTCTCTTTTCCTCTTCCCAGCTTTTCTTACTTAGCGTCCATCGCTTCCCCCATTCCTTCCCCCCTTTTTCTCCACTCCCCCGCCGATTGCAGGAGCGTCTACTGACACGGAAGTGTACATCGTAACACTCCGTTCCGCGCCCCCCATTATCGCGTACAACGGCGGAATAATGGGCTTCGCGCCCACCGCACCCGAAGCCGTCGCCGCCGCCGCCGCCGCCGCGGAGAGCAGCATGGAGGACAGCGGTGACGACGACGGGGCGGGAAGTTCTTCCGAGAGTGCGGCTTCCGCCACCGGCGGTGGCGGAGGCGGCGGCGGCGCGACCGCTAGACCAGCCGGCGCACGTTCAACCAGCAACGGTGGCGGATGGCTGGGAGGCGTGAAGGACCGGCTAGCCGACAAGGCCCGGGATCAGATCGGCTGGTTTCAAGGGCAGGCGAAGAAGATGCGAAATCGGTATCGGCCGCGGCTGAACGTGCGATCGCGCGCTGTGCGACAATTCGCGGAGCTGCTGCGACTCCAGCAGCTGTCGGTTGCGACGTCTGCGAAGATCCCTCATTCGAATCTTCTCTACAGGTTAGTGCCTATTTTGAAGGCTCCTCAGAACCATTGTTTTTTATGCCCGTTTGCGCTTCGTTGCGCTGCGTTTCGCTGCGCTCGTGTTACCATCAACACCCAGCGATGCGTTGTTAACCCTACCCAACCCATCGGACCAACGAAGCGTGGCTCTCTCTCCCCCGGTCCTCTCCCTCTCTCCCTCGTTCGTCCACGCACCATCGCAGCTTCAAGTACGCTTCGCACGGTTTCGCCGCGCGGTTGACGCCGCAGCAGGTTTCGCAACTTCGCCAGAACCCAGCGGTCGAGTCGATTCGGCAAGACGTGCTGTTTCGGCCGCTGACCAACTACTCGCCCAACTTTTTGCAGCTGCCCGGAACCATGTGGGCTTCCGCGGGCGGGCCGAAAAACGCCGGGGAGAATGTGATTATCGGCGTGATTGACACGGGGATATGGCCCGAGCACCCCTCGTTCTCCGCCGCAAATGTACGCGACTACAGTAGATATATATATATATTTATACTATTCTCTATACTCTCCCCACTCATTAATGTGCTGGTTTCATTCCTTCTGAACTTCCCTTTCTGTACTCCAACCCTCCTCATCCCATCCCCCCCTCCCCCCCCTCCTCCCTCGTCCCCCCCTCCCGACCCCCTCTCTCCCTCCGCCTCCCCCTCTCTCCCGCCTTTCCCCCCACTCCCACCCCGTCTTTTCTCAGACAAGCCGCTCGTTTTCCGCGCCTCCCGCGCGGTGGGCGGGGAGTTGCACGACGACGTCCGACTTCTCCGCGCGGCTGTGCACGAACAAGCTGATCGGCGCGCAGGTGTTCAACGCGGGGTTCCGCCAGCGCTTCAAGGCGGAGAGCACCGTCGTGGACTACTCGTCCGCGCGCGACAGCAACGGCCACGGCACGTGGTGTGCGGGGTACGCGCAAGGGGGGGGGGCGGGGGGGGGGGTGTGCAGATAGGGAGCTGGGAGGGGGGAAAGAATGGGAGGGAGGAAAGGGGCGGGGGTGTGGATGGGAGACGGGGAAAGACAATAGGGAGTTGTTGAGGATTGGGTGGAATTGGGACAAGGAGGAACATGGGCATGGGCATGGGCATGGGCATGGGCATGGGCATGGGCATGGGCATGGGCATGGGCATGGGCATGGGCATGGGCATGGGCATGGGCATGGGCATGGGCATGGGCATGGGCATGGGCATGGGCATGGGCATGGGCATGGGCATGGGCATGGGCATGGGCATGGGCATGGGCATGGGCATGGGCATGGGCATGGGCATGGGCATGGGCATGGGCATGGGCATGGGCATGGGCATGGGCATGGGCATGGGCATGGGCATGGGCATGGGCATGGGCATGGGCATGGGCATGGGCATGGGCATGGGCATGGGCATGGGCATGGGCATGGGCATGGGCATGGGCATGGGCATGGGCATGGGCATGGGCATGGGCATGGGCATGGGCATGGGCATGGGCATGGGCATGGGCATGGGCATGGGCATGGGCATGGGCATGGGCATGGGCATGGGCATGGGCATGGGCATGGGCATGGGCATGGGCATGGGCATGGGCATGGGCATGGGCATGGGCATGGGCATGGGCATGGGCATGGGCATGGGCATGGGCATGGGCATGGGCATGGGCATGGGCATGGGCATGGGCATGGGCATGGGCATGGGCATGGGCATGGGCATGGGCATGGGCATGGGCATGGGCATGGGCATGGGCATGGGCATGGGCATGGGCATGGGCATGGGCATGGGCATGGGCATGGGCATGGGCATGGGCATGGGCATGGGCATGGGCATGGGCATGGGCATGGGCATGGGCATGGGCATGGGCATGGGCATGGGCATGGGCATGGGCATGGGCATGGGCATGGGCATGGGCATGGGCATGGGCATGGGCATGGGCATGGGCATGGGCATGGGCATGGGCATGGGCATGGGCATGGGCATGGGCATGGGCATGGGCATGGGCATGGGCATGGGCATGGGCATGGGCATGGGCATGGGCATGGGCATGGGCATGGGCATGGGCATGGGCATGGGCATGGGCATGGGCATGGGCATGGGATGCATGGGCATGGGCATGGCATGGGCATGGGCATGGCATGGGCATGGGCATGGGCATGGGCATGGGCCATGGGCATGGGCATGGGCATGGCATGGGCATGGGCATGGGCATGGGCATGGGCATGGGCATGGGCATGGGCATGGGCATGGGCATGGGCATGGGCATGGGCAATGGGCATGGGCATGGGCATGGGCATGGGATGGCATGGGCATGGGCATGGGGCATGGGCATGGGCATGGGCATGGGCATGGGCATGGCATGGGCATGGGCATGGGCATGGGCATGGGCATGGGCATGGGCATGGGCATGGGCATGGGCATGGGCATGGGCCATGGGCATGGGCATGGGCATGGGCATGGGCATGGGCATGGGCATGGGCATGGGCATGGGCATGGGCATGGGCATGGGCATGGGCATGGGCATGGGCATGGGCATGGGCATGGGCATGGGCATGGGCATGGGCATGGGCATGGGCATGGGCATGGGCATGGGCATGGGCATGGGCATGGGCATGGGCATGGGCATGGGCATGGGCATGGGCATGGGCATGGGCATGGGCATGGGCATGGGCATGGGCATGGGCATGGGCATGGGCATGGGCATGGGCATGGGCATGGGCATGGGCATGGGCATGGGCATGGGCATGGGCATGGGCATGGGCATGGGCATGGGCATGGGCATGGGCATGGGCATGGGCATGGGCATGGGCATGGGCATGGGCATGGGCATGGGCATGGGCATGGGCATGGGCATGGGCATGGGCATGGGCATGGGCATGGGCATGGGCATGGGCATGGGCATGGGCATGGGCATGGGCATGGGCATGGGCATGGGCATGGGCATGGGCATGGGCATGGGCATGGGCATGGGCATGGGCATGGGCATGGGCATGGGCATGGGCATGGGCATGGGCATGGGCATGGGCATGGGCATGGGCATGGGCATGGGCATGGGCATGGGCATGGGCATGGGCATGGGCATGGGCATGGGCAGAAAAGTGCAACCTCCTATCCTCTTGGCCCGGTCAGCTTCCCAGCTTCCCTGCCCTTCTCTCTCTGCCATCGGCCTTGGTCGCACCTCGTGCCCTAACCTGCCTGCCCTCCCATTCCCTCCCCCTTCCCTGTTCCCCATCCCCTCCTTCCTTCCCTTCCCCTTTCCTCCCCCATCCCTCCCCTCTCCATCCCCTCTCCCTCCCCTTCCCCCTCCTTCCCGCCTCCCTCCCCTCTCCCCCTTCCCCCCTCCCTCCCCCACGTCAGAGCGGCAGCGGGCAACATAGTGCAAGCAGGCAAGCTGGGCACCGTCAGCGGCATGGCGCCGCGCGCGCGTCTCGCAATCTACAAGGTCGTGTGGACCAACATGAACTCGGGCGGTTACCTCGCAACCATGGTTGACATCAATGCAGCCGTCGACAAGGCCGTTGCTGACGGCGTGGACGTGATTTCCATCTCGCTGGGGGGAGCCGATCCCAACGCCACGTATTTCGACCACGTGAATTATCTCAACGTGAACAAGGCCGGCGTGTTTGTCGCGTTTGCGGCGGGGAACAGTGGAAGCCCGCCGTCGAGGGTTGTGTATCGCACGATTGACAACTTCTCGCCGTTCTACATGACTGTTGGCGCCAGGTGACCTTCTTGCTGCTCTTGAGCTTCTCGGCCTTGTTGGCCTTGTCAGCCTTGTCAGCCTTGTCAGCCCTCTTGCCTCTTGTCAACCTTCATGCCTGTCACTCTCCTGACGTGAACAAGTGCATTATCTGCAGTCAGTGGCTTTCGTTTGTTTCTTCGAACTTATCCCGGCACAGGCCTGTCCCTGAAACTCAAGTCTTCCCCTAGTGCTCTCTTCCTCCCTATCCTCCTCTCTCCCCCCCCTCCCCCCCCCTCCCCCCCCCCCCCCCCCCCCCCTCTCTCTCTCTCTCTCTCTCTCTCCTCTCCTCCCCACCGCAGTTCAATCGCTCGCAGGGGCACATATGAAAGCAGTGGAGAGTCCAACCTCCTGCGCAAACTGCTCCCAGGAATGAACAGCCCCTTCGACATTGCTCCATCCTCCTCATCCTCCTCATCTGCTGGTGCGGATGCTGCCGCTGCTGCTTCGGATGCTTCCACTGCTCCTGCTGGCAGCAAAAGCGTGCTCGGTGGAACAGCAGGAGCGGTGGAGACTGGGGCGGATGGAGATTCAAATTCCACTAGTACAGATGATGCCGCGACGTCGTCTCTGCAGGTCATGTTTGTGGAGGCGCAGAAGGCTGCACGGACTCTCAAGCAGCGTGCAAACGTAAGCATGCTGGCTGGCAGCACAAAAGTTCCGTTCCCCTCCCCCCCCCCGCCCCCCAAACTGGCAAATTACGGAACACTTTAGTGCAACCGATTCCAAGCGCACATGCGACGCGTTTTCCACGTGCCCCCACAGCCAATCCTAACTGCTCCCGTGCCAAGGACCACTACACCATCTCTGGCCCTCTGCCTTTCCAACCCACCAACCCACCCACTCACGCACTCGCCTTTCCCCTCCCTCCCTTCCCTCACCCTTTCCCCATTCCCTCCTCCCTCTCACTCCAACTCCCCCCCTCCCCTCCAGGCGCGAATCTGTGCACCTCTTTCCCTGAACCCCTCCAAGATCTCCGGCAAGGTGGTTCTGTGCAACCGAGGGGGTTCATCAATCACAGCCAAGGCGTGGGAGGTGGCAGGCAAGGGCGGGTACGCCATGATAGTGCTCGATCCGCTGGGTCTGCCCAAGGACCTCGGGTCTTTCAAGATTGGCAGTCTCCCTGTTCGTCGCATCGGCATGAGGGAAACGGTTCAGCTCCGGTCGTTTATGTCGGGCTCTAAGAAGTAAGTTTGCTGTTAGTACTGCTGCTAGTACCATGTGTGGGCTGATTTGTGCTGGTGTATTTTCTTATTCTCGGTTTCCCTGTCGTGTTTTATTGTTGCCATGTTCTATGTGCCTGTTGTGCAATTTTCCCACTTCTTCCTCTAACACCCATGCCTGCTTCTCCCTCACCCAACCCACCCATCTGATTCTGCCTTCCAGGGCAAAACCCAAGGGGATTTTAGCCTGGCTGCGGAGCTTCGTGGCAGCCAGTCGAGCCCCCGTTATCGCTTCTTTCTCCTCAACTGGTCCGCTCAACAACCCTTCTGGCACCCCAGAAGCGGCCCCTCGCCCCAGCAACGACATTATCAAGCCAGACATCGTCACTCCTGGCGTGGACCTATGGTCTGCTGCCAACAGCAATCTCGGGAACCGGTGGGATGCGCAGTACGCGCAGCTTTCGGGAACGTCCATGGCTACGCCGCACATCGCGGGGATTGCCGCGTTGCTGGTGCAGCGGTACCCTAATTGGACCCCCGCGCAGCTGATGTCCGCAATGATGACAACCGCAACGACGAAGGATAACAAAGGGCAGGCGATTCAAACCAGCGAGCACCAATTAGCGACGCCCTGGGACATGGGGGCAGGTCATATCAACCCGCGAAAACTTATCGATCCCGGGCTCACCTACAACATCGTTTTCAAGGACTACCAGAATTTTCTGGCCGGGCAGGATTTGAATCGGGCGAAGTCACTCTGGCCTGCTGAGACGTTCGCTCCAACTCCTGCGCGAAATCTCAACCGTCCGACTATTTCCGTCGCTTGGCTTTCTGGAAGTGCAATCGTGACACGAAAGGTTACAAATGTGTTCGACCAGGATTCTACGTACGTGGCGAAGGTGGTTTCGCCGAGGGGTGTGGATGTTGCGGTGGACCCACAAAATTTCACCATCTCGTCAGGGGCGAGTGTAACATACAGGGTTACTTTCACAGTGTTGCGAACGTCGCCAACATTCTCGTACGGTAGTTTGACATGGGAGGATGAGCATGACCACTCCGTGAGGTCCATTCTCGCGGTCCAACCAATCTCTCAGGGGGATTGACATGGATTGGTTGTTGGTCCTCATTGTACACTAACATTCATTTTGTTTTGTTACACTATCTCCCTTACTGATAAAGCGCTTTCTGTTGCTGCCATTGTATTGGGATTAACAAAATTTATCTCTTTGTTAGAAATGGGTTAGAATCATTCAAGCCAATTCCTCAAACATTATTGGCAATGGCTAATTCTGGCCTTTGCTTATCCCCACTACCAACACCACCATATTCACCAAAACCCAAACCAATATCATCTCGGGGGTTTCTTGTTTCTAAACTTTGAGGGCATGCCACCTCGAAACCTCCCTGCTGTTTGTGACCCCGTGTCCTGCAAAAAGGTCCTGTATGAGGCCTCCAGCCCCTCTCTGTACCGTCGGCGAATTTCCTCATAGTCTTGAGCCACCTCTTCCGGAGATGGCTCGGGGGCTTGATCCTAATGGGACGGTAAGGAATAAGACAGGGCAGGAAAGGAAACGATAGAAGTGAGCCCAAAAGGAGTGACACAAGGCCGATACGTAAGAGAAAGCATAGGTGTGACGGGGGAAGTGAGAGGGGGCCAGTCAAATGCAGTAGATATCAGCGATTTTTGCTGCTCAATGACACAATGCCAGAGATGCAAACTTACAGTGTCTAATTGAGCCGTTGCTATTCCTGCATCCAGTTGTTGCAAATCCGCTCCCTGGCAAAATTCGGAATCAAAGCAATGGCAGAAATTTAGGATTGAAACCCAGCGGCGAAGTTTGTTCAGAGACGAAAAAGGGACCAAAAATGTCACAAGAAAAGCATGAAATGATCAAGTACAAAAAAGCCACAACACTTACCGCTGACACACCATCTGCCATCATCTCCTCCCGCGACCACTCCTGTGACCTACTCAACCGATCTAGGACCAACGACATCGACGTCCGCGTTTTAAGAGCCACATTTGGCCGCTCTGGTTCCGGCTCCTGCACCCATTGAAGGTCCCTGGCCTCCTTGAATGTTCTCAAAAGCTCTCTGACCGCTACTATCAGAAAGGATATCAAAGCCGCACTGTAGCAGAAGAGAAGAACCTGAGGTCAATAACAAAAGGTGGACGAAAAGAAGCAGGTGAATGGATTGCGTACTAGGAATTAGATGAGAATGAGATGAAAAGAGAGCGTGAATGCCAAAAGGTGCGGTAGACTGAGGCAGAGAAACCCAGAAAAAAAACGCCGGGTAAGTGTCCACACAGCCACATCCCAAACAACGATGTTTCAATAACATACCTTTAACGAGTCCGTCAAGTGAAACGAGTTCGACGTCTTCTGCACTCGCGAAGCCAAGCCCCTAAGTACAGTTCCCGCCTCCTCAGTCGCCACTTGGGTCCGCCCACTACTACCCCGGCCAACGCCGCTCGCCTCATTCGGGTCTGTGCCAGATCTAAGGGAAGAAGACGAGGCGGATGAACGGCTGGGATCTCCTTGGATTGACCGAGGAGACGCGGGGGAGAGGAGAGGGATGATGACTACGGACTCCGAATACACTTCTCGAACGTCCGAGATTCCGTTGTACGCCATGAGATCCGGGACGGGAATGCCGTACATCCTAGCGATGCTCCACAACGTCTCACCCCTGAAGAATAAGATTATGGAGGAAAAAAAGAAAAGCGTTGATTTGAAACTGAGGCGACCGGAGGAAAAGCGGACTGCAGAAGGATCGGAAAACGATAATTTGTATACAGCAGCGAACTCCCGCCAAAACACAAACCCCGGATAAACATCTGCTGAACTAATGCGAGCGGAGCATACCTCGCGGCTGAACATAATGAGCTTATCGACTTTCTATGGATGTTAGGAACCATTGAGCTACGTCACAAGAAGAAGGGAATTCAAAACATAAAAGCTGCAAGCGAAACATGCTGCAACAAGCTAACACCGTGGGATGAAGAAGGAGCGTACGATTCAACTTTATGGAACACAGTTCTTCCTCCTGCTGAGGAGGCCGCTTCACTCGCCCGTCCTTTCGCGGCCTTAGGACCCCGGTGTCTCGCCTGTGACAGGGTGTACGCGTGCACGCACGCATCCAAGCACACAGGGATTACAGAAGTTACATAAACAACGGCGTGCGCAAAATGACAATTGAGCCTCACGAATCTCGAGCTTTCAAAGCGTTCACGTTGTGTAATCACTAGCTTTATCGCATGCAATGAATCCCTTCTTGTCTACACACGATATTGGAAAAGCGTAGGGGGCTGAAAGGCCAGAGGGTTTACTCGTCGCGGAGCGTTAACCGGCCAAGTATTGCCTTGTAACGAGAAACTATGGTCCGCCATTTTTGACCGCGATCCTGCTGCGGAATATTCGGGAAACAAACGGGAGTATCGGTGAGAAGAGAACGAGTACTTATGAAATCACTCGAAATCTGCCCAATTCTATCAAACGGATCAAGGACGGTATAGGGGCCTTTCTCTAGGTCTATATATACTGGCAAAAATAACTGAAAACAGAAACAATTCACTTCTACTATGATCTACAAGCATCGAGAAATTAAAGTTCCGCGCAATTCTAGTACCTGTGCAAACAACAGATTGCGGTTTCTTCTGAGGAAACGAGTCTATATTGTCCCAGTGCGTCCGCACAAGGGCGCTATGGTTGTTGCCAGGGAGGACCGAACGCGCAGACATGACGACGCGGAAAACAGTTTTCTAACGCAAGGCGCAGCACATCTGACGGCGGACAGTCCTACGAAAGATGGAAAGTACTACGGGGCTGAAGGTAGAAGCTATCTGTCAGCCTAAATGAGAGGTCGCAAGAACGCCGCCTGACACGGAGATCTACCTGCTGAGTGGCTGTGACTGCTGCACTGCAATATGCTTTGTGCTTGTCCCGCAGCAGACCTCGTTGCTGCGTACTCTGTATGGACCAAGAAGGGAGGTGTGTTGTGGTTGGCGCCAAAACCAAAACCTCTCCTAAACGCGGTGTAGACTGGTTTAGAATCAATTTAGAGCATAAAATAAGATTAACGCGGGTGAAATCCGGTTTATGCAGGCATTATTATAGCAAATGCATGCACAAACGAATGGGTGCCCAGCGCGACCAATATAGGAGCGGAGGCGAGGAAGCAGAATTTCGGCCCTGCCTGTGGAAGATTTTGGCGGGAAAGCTGACCACGCGCGGCGTTTGTGCTGAGCTGAATATGTCTCTGAAATGTTGCGGGCAATGCAATGCAAGCAGTTGGAGCAGCACCCCAAGCAACAACTCGTTTCAAGGCTTCAACCGAGCCATGCCAAAAGCTGGCTTCCTTCCTCATCCACTCTTCCCAAACCAGGAAAGGCCACGTCATTTCATCCGATTTCGGAGAACGAACCAGTGCATAACACTGTTTGCACTTTTTGTTAACACGAAATCTATTCTAAACATAAGAATCACTTTCAATCCTCCTAAAAAACAACTCCATGGTGAGATATCTTCCACAAAGATGTCGAAAACGAATCATACGTAAAGAAGCAAGACGCACAATGAAGGACATGAATCAGTCGGACCAAATAATATGTACCTCAGCAGAACGAAAAATATTAATGAACTGGGTGTGTCAAGAGCATGCCACCTGCAAGCTATCTTGCACGCATGCAAGTTCTCTGATGGGGTATCAGAAATAAGAACACCATCGGGTGTGTTCTCATCCACTCAACCAACATTCCCTAAACCCTAACCTCTTCAGGTTGTGCTACCTCACTCTCCGCTGGCTCTGTCTTCCCTCCCTCCTCCCCGTCATCCGAAGTATGCTCATGCTGCTGCTTCTTGCCTCTCCACCGCAAAAACTTCTCCTTAGCCGCAAGCCCCAACACATACAGCGGCTTTGTCATGCCCACGCCGTGCAGCGCGAGCAGGAACGCAGGCAGGAAAATAATTCCCGTGCCCCACGAGAGGAGTGTGGCGACGAGGAACATGCGGAAGTAGTAGACGTTGTACACAGCCGACTTGGCAAAGGCGAGCGGGAGGATGCCCAGCACTGTGCAGCAGGCAGCGTTGGTGATGGGACGGATATACTGCAGCAGGGCCGAGCGGATCCGGTCCTGGACGAAGAAGGAAGGGGGCGGGAAATGGGGAGGCGGAGAGAGGAGGGTTGGTAGGGGAAAGGCGGCGATGTGTGGATGTGTGTGTGTGCGCGTGCATGTGTGGGCGTGCGTGCGTGGGAGACTGTGTGTGTGTGGAAGTCCATGTTTGTCCCAACGAGAGAGCGAGCCAGCCAGCCAGCCAGCCAGCCAGCCAGCCAGCCAGCCAGCCCCATGATTGCCACTGCGACTCTTGAGGCGCCTCAAAAGTGGGCTGAGAGAATGACTGACCTGTGGGTTGCCGTGGTCGAGCTCGAATGCGCGCATGATGTAGTTCACGTATTCGTCCGCCAGCCCCATGATTGCCACTGCATTCACTGCAGACACCGCGTTCAGCTGCACCCCCCACTCCGCCGTCAGGCCCTGGTGAGTGGAGAACAGGGAAGGGGATGAAAAGAGCGGAAGAGCAGGATGAGAAGAAAAGGGGAAAGGGAAAGCAGCATGCCAGCCCCGTGATTGCCACTGCATTCACTGCTGACACCGCATTCAGCTGCACCCCCCACTCTGCCGTCAGGCCCTGGTGAGTGGGAGGGGGAAGAGAGAGGGTAACGGGATGGGGACGGACGAAAGGAGGGGGAGAAGAGGATGAGAGAGAGGAATGATGAGTGAGGGCACGGAGGAGTGGTGGGAGAGGTGGGAAGGGGAGAGGGAGCGAGGAGAGCGAGAGAGCGAGAGAGCAGACAGAATGCTGGTACAGCATGCCAGGCCTATGATGGCGACTGAGGAGAATTCAGGAAACGGGAGTGGGACGGGGATGAAAGGAGGGGGAGAGGTGAAAAGAGGAGACCCAACCCCAACCACAACCACAACCATCACACATCACACATCGCAGCACAGCGCATCGGCCAGTGCTGCCTGCACCCAGGCTGCACCACACCGCAGTGCACCGCACCGCACAGCACAGCACCACACCACCCAGCACAGGACCGCGCAGCACCGCACGGCACCGCAGAGCAGCGCACTCACGAGCATGGAGATGTGGATCATGAGCACCATGGCGGAGACGATGATGGCGGTCTTAAAGCCCATGAAGATGAAGGTGATGCAGAAGATGCCGATGATGGTGAACACGAGCATCCAGATGTACTGCTGCACGATGTCCAGGAACTGCTCGTAGAACACATAGAAGTAGCTCTGGGTGAACGCCGGTACCTGAAGGAGAAGGGGCAGACAGGGTGACAGTGTGACATGGGGCGGGTTGGGGGAGGTAGAGGGTGAGAGAGGCGGGGCGGGAGAGGATTACAACATGCTTTTGGTGGGTCGGTAGCAAGGCTGCAGGAGGATGGGGTGAGAGCACCACATGTATTGCTGCACCACATGCACTGCTGCAAAAACTGATGTCTTGTCAGTCCAATGCACCCTCCAGCAGCAAGTTCACCCACCCACCTGCGCTGTGCGACAAACATTCCTCCCACCCACGCACCCACCAGCCCACCCACCCACCTGTGGCACGGAGTCAACCCGTGCGCGCACGTCCAGCATGGCGTTGACAAACTCGCCCGTGCCCTTGAGCGGGTTGTAGAACGCGCGCATGCACCATGCGAGGCGAGGCCACTTTAGGGTCAACTGAACCTTGACCTACCACCACCCTGACCCTGCCGCTGCACACATCAGCCCGAGCACCCACCACCTACCTACCCACCTACCCACCTACCCACCTACCTACCTACCCACCTACCCACCCACCCACCTACCCACCCACCTACCCACCCACCCACTTAACGGCGACACAGGCCAGGCCGAACCCGCCTGAATAGTCGACTTTCCAGCGCCCACCCACCTGCGGAACGGAGTCAACCCGTGCGCGCACGTCCAGCATGGCGTTGACAAACTCGCCCGTGCCCTTGAGCGGGTTGTAGAACGCCCGCATGCGCGCGGCCTTGATGGCCTCGATGGCGCCCGTGCGGTTGTTGCGCTCAAAGTCAAAGTCGTAGATGTAGGCGAAGCCCTCCATGCTGTCGTTGAGGAAGTTGTCGAGCGCCGCATGGAAGAGCTCCCGAGAGGGCAGCTGCCCATTGCTGTCCAGCTGCGTGACCCACTTGCTGTACGGCAGGAACCTGGACCCATGGAGGGCGGGGGGTGGGGGATGGGGGCGGGAAGGAGCAGGGGTGCAGTGCAGGAAGGAATGAGGGGCATGTTGGAGGGGGAGGGGGAAGGCACAGGGAATGAGGCTAGCAGAGCGTCCGGCTGCGTCACCCAATTGCCGGAGGGAGGGAAGGAGCCTGGGGAGGACGGACTCACTTCTCGGTGAAGTCGCGGCACCAGGAGAACAAGGGCGGGCTTTGAGACGTCTCAAATCACTCACAAACGCACACGCACATCCTCCCCCCCCTCCTCCCCCCCCCCCCCTTCCCCTCCCCCACTTCCCTTCCTCCGCCTTCACCCTCGCCCAGTGGACGCACTCACTTCTCTGTGAAGTCGCGGTACCAGGAGAACACGGGCGGCTCAATCCACGTGGAGTTCTGCACCAGCCCTGTCAGCCGCTCCATGTACGGCTGTTTGGGGGGGGCGGGGGAGGGGAAGGGGACCAGGGGGGCAGCGCAGGGTGGGAGGGGAAAAGGAGGTGGAGGGTACAATCTCAATCCACGTGGAGTTCTGCACCAGGCCTGTCAGCCGCTCCATGTATGGCTGGGGGGTGGGGACGTGGTGGACGGGGAGGGGGGTTGGAGCGGGAGGGGGACGGGGGACGGAGGGGGAAGGGAGAGGAGAGGAGAGGGAGTGGGGAGATGGGAAGACAGGTTGGTTCTGCACCAGCCCTGTCAGCCGCTCCATGTATGGCTGGGGGAAGGTGGTGGAAAGTGGGGGAGGGCGAGGGCGAGGTTGAGGGAGAGGGGGAGAGGAGGGGGAGGGGGGGGGGGAGGGGGGGGGGGAGGAGGGGGAATGAAAGTGGGCAGGAAATCAGGGGGGGTAGATACACACACGCAATACTTGATGCTTTCCCTGCACTCACACCCACCCACATGCCCGCTGTTAACACACGAAACAAACCCCATCCCACCAAACATTGCAACGCCCCACACCGCACTGCACCACACCACACCGCACTGTACCCTGTTCTGCAGAGACGAGTAGTCAATGTTCTCGGTCACCAGATACATGGGCGGGCCGATGTGCGTGTTGCACCTGGGAGGACGGACAGAGGGGATGGTGTTGGATGGAGGGGAGACAGGATGAGTGGGTATGTGCGTGAACAGCAAGGGCGAGGGAGGGCAGGCCCTCCTGGGCCGAGGGCAGAAGGAAGCAAAGACAAACAGCCTCTCATCCCATCCCACCCCACCCCACCCCACCCCACCCCACCCCACCCCACCCCACCCCACCCCACCCCACCTCATCCCACTCCACCCCACCCCACCCCACGTCTCCAACTCACGTCTCCTCGTATCCAAGGTAGTGGTACAGCTGGGTGCCCTGCGTGATGAGCGTGCGCACATCCAAAGTCTCATCCACCGTGATGCACCCATAGATGCCCACGCCCAGCAGCGCGCCAAACACCAGGAAGATCACCAGCTGCCCCGCCCAGTGGCACAGCGCGTACGGCACATAGTACAGGCAGATGAACCGCCCGTAGAACGTCTTTGCTTCCTTCTCCGTGCTGCCCGAGATGTCAATCAGCCCTCCGTCGCTCTTCACCTTGGCCCGCTTCTCCGCCTTGCGCTGCTGCTTCTCCTCCTTCGATAGCTTCGCGCCGTTGCCCGTTCCGTTCGCGGCGGCCGCGACGGCGCCGGTGTTACCAGCAGCGGCGGCGGCGGCGGGATCGTGGGTTTCGGGTCCCATAGCTGGAGGTGCTGTGATTATATGCGCAGCTTTGATGGCTTCCTTGTCGTCTCCTGCTCCCTCTACAGTCACATCAGTGGCAGGAGGGCTACTGCTCTGACTTAGAGGAACCCACGCTGCACCGTTAGCAGTGCCATTCACAGCACCGTTAGCAGCAGCAGCAGCAGCACCATCACTATTAGCAGCAGCAGCGGCGGCGGCGGCGGCAGCAGCAGCAGCAGCAGTAGCGGCGGCGGCGGCAGAATCAACAGCAGAGGCGGAATGAGGAAAGGGATTGGCAGCGGATGTGTTTCGGAGCAGCTCCTGCTGGCTCGGCTGTGGCTTGGTGCGCCGGCCGTTGCGTGAAATGCACGGGATGCAGTCGTATCGGTTGTCCCTCTCCCTGCGCGCGTCCAAGATCTGATGTATGGGGGAAGGGGAAGGGGGAGAGTGGAAGGGAGGAGAAAGGTGGCCGAGGTGAGGTGGTGGACGAAGTTAGGAAGGAAGGCTTTTGAGGCGCCTCAAAAGCGACAGGCTCTCACCAGGAAGGCGTTGAACGCGGTGAAGGAGAAGAGGAGCTCAAAGAGCACAGCGATGGCGAGAAACAACGATGCTCAAGTTGACTAACAGATGCATCTCTTAGCCGGCTGGCAAGCCGTTCTCCGCTCGTCTCAACAGCCGTTTCTCACCAGGAAGGCGTTGAACGCGGTGAAGGAGAAGAGGAGCTCAAAGAGCACGGCGATGGCGACGACGATGCAGAACTCCTGCAGTGCGGGGATGCGCAGCACGATGCACGGGCACAGGAACGAGATCGCCTTGGTCAGCGCCGTCAGCGCCACACTCGCCCCCTGCCGGTACAGCGCGTCCTGTGAGGGGGGGGGGGAGAGGGGGAAGAACAGGAAGGAAAAGGAAGGGATGAGTTGGGTATGAAAGCGAGAGGGAAGAGGAAAGACTATGGACTGGATTAGTGCCGTTAGCGCCACACTCGCCCCCTGCAGGAGGATGAGGGGGGAGGAAGAGGGAAAGGGAGGAAGGGGTTGCAGCCAGGGGCGAATAGGGGTGAGGGAGAAGAGTGATAGAATGGTAGCATTGTGGGTGGGAGAGCATTGTGGGTGGGATAGAATGGTTGGTGAGATAGCACTTTTAAAGCATACTAATAGAAAACGGCTCTTCAGGCACCTGAATACACGGGTTTAGGGTTGTGGTGTGAGCGAGTGTCAACAGAATATGCCGCTGTGGTCTCGATGAGTGTGAAACCGTCAGCGAGAGTGCGAGTGTGAGTCTCAGGCTCAGTGAGTGTGAAACCGACTTACCTCGAGTGCCATGGCAATGTCTCGGTTGGAGAGGGGCGCGTGGGAAAGCGAGGTGAGGGACTTCTGATGTGCCTCAGAATACCTGGTCTGGTCTCAGAATACCTCTGAGTGTATGGGACTGTCTCACCTCGAGCGCCATGGCAATGTCGAGGTTGGAGAGGGGCGTGTGGGGAAGCGAGGTGAGGGACTTCTGGAAGTGCGTGTAGAGGATGAAGACACTGTCCATGCCGATTGACAGCATCACGAATGGCAGCACCTGGGGATATTCAGGGGAGAGGTACACGGGGCGGGGCATGGGGTTACAATGATGGTGGGGGAAGAGACCAGCGCGTGTAGAGGATGAAGACACTGTCCATGCCGATTGACAGCATCACGAATGGCAGCACCTGGGAGGGAGGTGAGGAGGCGGGATGGACGGAGCGGGGGGGGATATGTGGTGATGATGATGGTGTGAAAAGAGTCTAGTTCGTGTAGAGGATGAAGACACTATCCATGCTGGTTAAGAGCATCACGAATGACATCTCCTGGGGAGGAGGCGAGGAGGCGGGAGGAGGGACGTGGGGTGGGGCGGATTTGGGGATGGTGTGATGATGATGGTGTGGGGAGAGTCTAGTTCGTGTAGAGGATGAAGACACTATCCATGCTGGTTAAGAGCATCACGATTGACATCTCAAAACCCACCTGGACGGTAGACCACCCACCTATCCACCCACCAACCCACCTGCCCGCGCACGCACGCACGCACCTGGATGGTGAGCGAGCGGGCTGTCACTTTGAGTGGTAGAACAGCGCGCTGAAACCGGCCGAGGGGAAAATTCCCGACCCGAGGAGGACACAGTAGCGAAGTGAAGCGAGCGCGGCCAGGACTAGCAGGAAGTGTATGTTCTTTGAGAATTCTCAAAAAAACATACACTGTGCCCAGCACTAGCAGGAAGCTTGAGACGCCTCAAGAGCCATCCACCCATCCACCGACCGACCACCCGTTCCCACAGTTCGCCCACTTGCCCGGGCCCCCACCCAACCACGCACGCACGCACCTGGATGGTGAGCGGGTTGAACTGGTAGAACAGCGCGCTGAAGCCGAGCGAGGAGAGAATCCCCGAAGCCACCGTAGCCAGCGCGCCCAGGCCCAGCAGGAAGCGACTTTTGAGGCGCCTCAACACGCGTACACACCTGGATGGTGAGCGGGTTGAACTGGTAAAAGAGAGCGCTGAAGCCGAGCGAGGAGAGAATCCCCGAAGCCACCGTAGCAAGCGCGCCCAGGCCCAGCAGGAAGCGCGTGCGGAAGGGCTTGAAGGTGGTGAGGGCGACAAGCATGTAGAGCGTCATGATGATGTAGCTCGCTCCCAGGAGGAACACGTCCCCCCTCGACTGCCGCGAGATCTCCTGCGAGGTTGAGACTCCCGTTGCTGCGTATGCCACCACGTCCTGATGGATTAGGAAGGGGGGAGGAGGGAGGTGGGGGGGAGTGGGAGCGGGGAGGTGGGGAAAAGAAGCGGAGAGGTCAACGGAGGGAAGGGAGGGAAGGTAGGGAAGCGAGGGAAAAGAGGGAAAAGGGGGAAAAAGGGGAAGGGAGGGGAGAAAGGAAAGGGGGAGAGGGAACGGGAGGGAAAGGAGGGAAGGGAGGGACGGGAGAGAGAAGAGAGGAATGGGAGGGAGGGAGCAGACTCAGAACCCTTGTGAGCGAGCGAGCGAGCGAGCGATGCTTGAGAACTCTCAAAGAGCGAGCGAGCTGGTTTTTGAGAATTCTCAAAGAGCGAGCGATGCTTGAGAACTCTCAAACAAGAAAAGAGAAATGGAGAGGAGTGGAGTCCAGTCCCGGTATCAAGGCCGGCTCACCCCTCAAGGGTACGTGTGGAGCATCATACCTAGGAGTGCGCGGTTTTCCATCGCACAACTGAGACGAGTTGTAAGCCGCCGACTCACAACGAGTATCGAGCAGCTCGACTCACCTCGTAGGGGAACGTGTCGAGCATATCCAGGAGTGCTGTCCCCCATCACTCCCATGTTATGGCGCCCTGGATATGCTCCTCGTCTCAAAAAACCGTTCGTGAGGCGCCTCACAACCAGTATCGAGCAGCTCGACTCACCTCGTACGGGTACGTGTCGAGCATATCCAAGAGTGCTGTCTCCCATCGCTCCACTGTGGGCGTGCCCTTGAGAGACACGTCCAGGAAGACTGCAGAGAGGGGAGACGAGGGGAGGGGCGGGGGAGGAGGGACAAGGAGGGGATAGGAGGGGAGGGGAGGGGAGAGGAGAGGAGAAGAGAAGAGAGGAGAGCAGAGGAGAGGAAATGAGAGGAAAGGAGAGGGAAGGGGGAAGGAAGTACCGGGGCGAAACATTTAAGTGCCAAGACAGATCCGAGGGTGTTGGGTGGGGGAGTACGGAAGAGTTAGGATTTTCCTGCGATCTTCTTTCAGGTTTGTTTGCTCGGTTCAGCTTTCAATCGGCTTATGCCCTTATTTCATTCATTGTGCCGCTGTGGTGCCAGTGAACGAGGCATTTGCCCTGGAAAGTCCAAGAAGACGTGGCATCAAGCCCGTCAAGTGCTGGTGCTAGCTAGCTAGCAAGCATGGTAGCACCACACGAGTGCAGCCAAGACCAGGTGAGGTAAGATGAGGCAAGGGGATGCAGGGGGGGGTAGGAAGAGGTGGGGGCAGACAGGAGCAGAGAGGGTGAGCAGGACGTACATGTGAAGATGAGGGCTCCCACGGACTTGACGTCATAGTTGCCTTCTTACACGCGGGATGGCGTCTTTTGAGACGTCTCAAAACGGAGACAGGAGCAGCCAGAGAAGAGAGAGAGAGAGAGAGAGGGTGACTGCCACCGCTGGCGCTACAAAACCTACGGGAGGAGCAGCAAACCCCGTCCCAAGACCAGCTGCAGCGCGCCCTCTCCCAGGAAGTGCACGCGGCAAAGGCCGACGCCCTAAGAGAGGAGTCACGCACAATACAGTCAGCCCCCGAGATGGGTCACACACTCCGCCTAGTCAGCCTGAGAGGAGAGGGAGCGGGAGCATGGCTGCAGGCACTACCCTTGACCCCGGACCTCTGCTTCTCACCGGGTCAGTTCCGAGCGGCCCTGGCCTTCCGCATGGGCATCCGACAGAATGTACCAACCGTGTGCGAGTGCGGAGAACTCGTTGCCGACTGCAGCCTACCCAACCACGTACTCCGCTGCAGCACAGGCCCCGACAGGACGCGCACACACAACCAGCTGGCCTTCGCCATGGCTAAAATGGCGAGGGAGGCGCAGCTGGTGGTATACCTGGAGAATGCGATGTACTCACCTCCGGATGACCCGAAGAAGGCAGATGTGATTGTACAAGACCCGGACAGCGGAGAGACCTGGATCACAGACACCACTATCACTGACCCTGTGCTGCAGAACCGAGACCCCACGGCCCGCAAACCCCCAGGCTGGGCGGCAAGGGAGGCACAGAAGCGGAAGGAGAGGGACTACTACCGACACACTGAACACGTGGTGTTCTGCGCTCTGGCCGTCGAGACCTATGGGGCAAACGCGCCCCCCACGACGGCGTTCCTGAAGCTGCTGGCCACAGCAGCAGCTAGGAACCGGTTCAGGGCCAGCCCCTTGGCGAAATCCGCCAAGAAGATGGCCTGCCACTTCAGCCAGCGCTGGTCAGTGGCCCTCCAGCGCTCCCAGGCGAACGCCCTGCACACCAAGGCCAGGGCTGGGATTGAGGCAGCACACCCCCAGATGGCAGCGGACCCCTGGCCGCTGCACCTGGGGGACATCCTCCACACGCTGGAGGGCTAGAGGGTCACTCGGGGGGGGGGGAAGAGGGGTGAGTTGATGGGCTTATGGGATTGAGGTTATCATGGATAGAACTGCATGTCTGTACCCCTGCTGATTTAATACAACGGACCATTTGAGAGAGGGTGAGCAGGACGTACATGTGAAGATGAGGGCTCCCACGGACTTGACGTCATAGTTGCCCGCGTACACTTTGGATGGCGTCTTTACCAGGCAACCCAGCACCTGCCGCTGCTGCACCGGGATCAGACCTGCGGATAAAGCAAGGAGGGAAGGAGGGAGAAGCTGAATTTTGAGTCCACTCAAAAGTCTTCACCAGATTCCGGGTAGAGAGACGACTTTTGAGGCGCCTCAAAAGGAGGGAAGTGCTGCTGACTATTGAGACGACTATATAGAGTCTCACCAGGTCTGATCAAACGTCTCACCAGGCACAACACCAGGCAGCCCAGGCACCTGCCACTGCTGCACAGGGATCGAACCTCCAGAAGGCAAGAAAGACGGGGGGTGCAGCAGCAATGGCGACAACAGAGAGCAGCACGCAGAGGAAGCAGAGCGTAGCAGGGCGGAGAAGCAGGAGGGAGCAGCGGCGCGGAGGAGGGGCGGGGGGAGCAGCAAGGAGGAGAAGCAGATGGGGCAGCAAGGAGGAGAAGCAGGGGAGAGCAGCATGCAGGAGAAAGCACCCCGAGCAGCAAGCACCAGCATCAGCACCGTTCTCACTAACTCACTCTCCCACCCATGCACTCACTCACTCACTCACTCACGCATGCACCCCCTCAGCACTCACCCGACAGCAGCAGCTCGTCCACGTCAGCATGCAGCTGTGCATCGGTCCGGGAGAGCATGAGCGCGCGGTCGTCCTTCCAGTAGGCGAGCGGGCTGTAGTACACACACCCGCCGTTCTTCACTGGCTGCGCACACATCTGCTTGATGCCCACCGTGCTGTTGTCGTTGGCTGTCACTGTCAGGTTCAGCAGTGACATGTAGATGTTGTACGTCTGATGGGAGGGGAGGGGTAGAGGGAGAGGAGGGGGAAGGCGGGGAGAGAGGTGTTTGTGTCGGGTCATGGTCAGTTGGCTGTCACTGTCAGGTTCAGAAACGACATGTAGATGTTGTACGTCTGATGCTCCCATCAGACGTACAACATGTGTTTGATGGAGGGGGAAAGAGATGGGAGGGGTTCTTGAGTCGACTCGAGAGTCGGTTCTTCACGGGCTGCGCACACATGTGTTTGATGCCCGCGCTGCTGTTGCCGTTGGCTGTCACTGTTAAGTTCAGCAGTGACATGTAGATGTTGTACGTCTGATGGGGGGGGGGAAGGGATGTGAACGAGAGAGGGGAGGGATGTGAACGAGAGGGGGAATGGATGTGAACGAGAGGGGGGAGGGATGTGAACGAGAGAGGGGAGGGATGTGAACGAGAGAGGGGAAGGATGTGAACGAGAGGGGGGAGGGATGTGAGCGGGAGAAGGAGAGATGGGAAGGGGGCGAGGGATGGGAGGGGGGAGAGGGAAGGAGTGAGGGAGGATGGGAGGGGGGGATCAGGGGCCTCAAGAAAGCTTTCTCTGTTTGCTGAAACTCAGTTTGCACCGTGAATGATTGCTTTGTTGAATCAGATTCAGTTTGCAGCATCAGGTTCGGTAGAGGCATGTAGATGTTATTACGTTTGATGGTGGAACGGGGGGAAGGAGTTAGGAGCGAGAGTGAGTCGAGAGGAAAGAGAAAGGGGGCTTGTGGGGATGCGAAGAAGAGGAAGGGAGATAAGTGAGCAGCGGGGAGGGACAACGGAGGGAGCGGAAGTCGGTGGAAGGGAAACGTGGGGGTGGGGTTGGTGAGAAAAGGTGAGTTGATTGCAAACTTCGTTTAGAGGCGTCTTCAGGATGTGTGTGGGTGAGGCAAGGTATGAGTAAGCCACAGCGCGATGAGTGTGTGTGTGAGTGAGGATGTGAGTGAGTGTGTGAATGAGGATGTGAGTGAGTGTGTGAGTGAGGATGTGAGTGTGTGAGTGAGTGTGTGAGTGAGTGAGTGAGTGTGTGAGTGAGACATGGTCTGCGTCCTTCCCTTCCCAGCCCTCCCTACCCTCCTCCCGGCCCCCTTGCCCTCCCCGCGCGCACCTGGTTGAGCAGGTGCGGCTGCAGCATGTCGGCGGAGGGGTCCTTGGGCAGGATGATCACGCGCTCCACGCGCGGAAACTGGTCCGGCCCTCATAACCCCCTCCCTTCCTTTCATCCTCCCATCCCTTGCCTTCCTTTACTTGCCCTTCCCTTCCCCGCCCTTCCCCGGCCCGCCCCGTCCCGCCCCCTCTCCCTTTTCCCCCCCTACGTTTCCCTCCCGCCCTCCCCGCGCGCACCTGGTTGAGCAGGTGCGGCTGCAGCATGTCGGCGGAGGGGTCTTTGGGCACGATGATCACGCGCTCCACGCGCGAAAAGGGGTTGGTGGGGAAGTACGCGTCGAACTTGCGCTGGTCCACGATCGTCTTCGACGTGCTCGGCACCTGCGGGGAGACAGGGGCGTTTGTCGTACGCGGGGAAGACGGAGCGCGGGGAGACCGACGAGGGATTTGGGATGATGGAGGAGGGGGAGGGAAGACGAGACGAGATTGTGTGAGTGCGTGTGTCCGTGTGTGCGCTTGTGTGTGTGGTCAGCGTTTTCGACGGCGAAGCCAACGGCGTCGTCTGGTTTCTGAATCGAGTCATCATGAGCCTAGCTCGCGACAGGGGTGCGGAGCTCCTTAAACGTGCCGAAGGCAAGAAGGAAAAAACAAAACGCTCGACGGTCGTACTGGCCACGTCAGAGTCGCGGGAATAAACGTTAACGGCGACGGCGACGGCGACGGCGACGGCGACGGCAACAGATTCGGAGACAAGAGACCGAGACGGGTGCGTCGTCTTGTTTCGCTATGACGGCACATGAAAGCAAGACGGAATGCAAGAGGCGTAATCAAGGCAGCAGTACGCGCCTAGACAAAGACGGCTGGAAAGCAAGGGTCAAAAGGCAACTGCTTGCAGAATTTGACGAGTGCTTTTAGCAGGACGGCTCTCAATCTCAATCGTAATCCTGATGAAGGGACAGATCTAGACGCGAGTCATCTACGAGCCATTTCTAGCATCCTGTGGTTGCTGTAGAGCACCATGTCAGTGATGACAAACCGCGAGAAGAACGCGGTATGAAGAACGCGGTATGAAGAACGCGTTAAGCACATGATAAAAACGGGCGGTTCCTCATTTCGAGACACCTTCGAGCGCGTAGCTCAGACGCGAGTCTCCTTCGAAAAGGGACTAGGGCGAGTGACGGTTACTGCGGGTTGCCTACAAGTCCTACTTAGAGCTCGAGTTGAGACGTCTCGCAAGCTTGCCGGAGCGAGTTGATGTGGAATACTTTTTTGGGGATTGAATAATTAAAGTTAGGAGTTAGAAAGGCTTACCCAGAACGAGTCGAGAAACGTGCCATAACTTACCCAGAGCGCGTCGATGTTTTCAATGAAGCTGGCTCGTAGCAGTCCGAGCGAGCAGAGAATGATGACGACGCACGCGACGAAGATGCTGGCGAGTGGCCGGCGACCCACGAGCCATCCGAGGCGCGAGAATTGCCACTGCCACCACTCGAACATCACCCGCCATATCCGCAACATGTCGGGCACGCGGCTCTAGATGGTATTGAACTGCTTGTGCGGCTCCTGCTGGTGCTCGTGCTGGTGCTTCTGCTGCTGCAGCTGCTAGAAAAGCTGATGAGATGGTGGTTGTGTTGCTGCTATTGTTGGTGGTGCGATGCTGTTTCTGGAAAGGCCGAGTCAAGCGTAGACTCCTCGCTGCTAGACCGAACGGTCTAATCAAGGGTGTTCGAATTCGACGAGGAATGGCGACTTCTAACCATGTGAGACGCGTCTGACTGGAATCCAATGAATACACAGACCCGCCGGATTAAAAACCGTTGATTTGGTCGACAATGGTAGCATGTCTGGCAGTAAGAAGCTACTAATGAAACAGAAGCTCTTGGGTCCAGCACTTCTACCTTCGTTGACGTTCCTAGTGACGCCGACAGCTGCTGTTTCTCATTCCTCTGTTAGATACTTGCTCCTTGCAATCGTAAGACAATATCTATACGTCACGCGCTCAATCTTGGAGAAGTGGGAATGGATAGAAACGCCTTCCCCGAATGTATCGTGTGTGCTTGAGGGGAAAGTGAGGTGTCGTCCAACGGATGGGTTCAATTTCAATCAAACATATTTTCCGTCTGCCCTCGGCAGAATTACGAGCAGACAGAGACGCGGAAAGTGGAGAGTGTGGGGAAGAGGGAGGGCGGGAGGGAGAATGGGGGCTGTGCTGACAGATGGACAGGGCGACTGACGCCTTTCTCCGGTGTCGGGTGGGAGATCGGGGAGCAGTCGGGGAGAGGTCGGGGAGCGGTCGGGGGGAGGTCGGGGGGAGGTCGGGAGGTCCGAAGTTCGGGGGAAGGTGGGGGCCCTGGGGAGTTACGAGTCGTCGTGGGCTCCAAACCGAACACCCAGAGCGAAATGCTCGGTGCAGTCGACGCAAAACACCGAAAGGCGCCTCGCCTTACCTCGACTAGCCACCGCCAAGGTTTTGAAGTCTGGACGATGACTGGACTGTGATGTGTTTGCGCTGACACTTTTCTCTCTTCAAACCTTTGCAGAATTTAGTCTAGCTACAAGTTTCTTTGGAAATATGTATTTCTTCTAATACTGTCCTTCTACGAGAGTACTGGTGAGAGAAAATCACTTGCGGCCCTAGTTCAATCTCGGGAATGTGGTAAACACGCGAGTGTGATAAACAGGCAATCGCTTATGAGGAAAGGATAGCATGCGGAACGTACCCGATTATGGCGTGCAAACATGAAAAACTAAACATAAATTTTGGTTCTGTGGTACAACTGGGATGAGTGTGTGATGGTGTGGTGTGAAGCAACAGAGAGATTCTCTGACCTCACAGCTGTTGGCAAAAGTTCCCACTTCAAACCAGCCGGACAGAGGGATTTGGTGTGCTGGTTCGGTGACGAGGGTGTGGAAGGGCAGGGGAAAGCTGTGCAGTGCAAGCTCGCAAATTGTGACAGGCGATATTCCTTGCGACGTAAGAACTGCTGCGACAGGGCGACTCCTTGTTGCCGACTCCTCCTGACAGCACGAAAAGAAACGATGCGATTCGACGGGACGACAGCGGGATCCACACGCGACTTCTGCGACTAATCGGAAAGGGTCGCCCGCAACGCAACAAACGGGGCGAGCGACAATGTGTGGGAAGTTCTGGTGTATTTTGGGGTGTTTCCAACGGGATCGCTTCCCTTCGCGAGGATATTGTCATAAAACTTTCCCAAATGTTCAAAGCGAGAGACGTTCGAGATGTGATGCGACCCACAAGTACCTTATAACGACGAGGTTAGGACGTGGGGCCCATCGACTTTGATCGGATCAGATTAAATCGGGTTGGATTGGTTCGAATTGCTTGTGATCGCTTTTCCCGCGCCGCTCGATCAAAGCTAAATTTCCTCGAAAACTCTAAGAGCCTGTATGATAAGTTCGACACAACTACCTGGAATTTTCTTTCCATTTTTGGCGAGACTGGCGAACACAATGTATCGTGGTAACGTCGTGAAAATCGCGTTGCAGACAATGTCAGTCTAGAACCTTTGCATACTGCTCGCCATTCCGTGGGCATGAGCGAAATATTTTCGAGACCTCTAGTCAATTTTGTAACGTTTCGCGAACGTCGTCCAGGCCCCCGATCACTGCAATCAAGTGATCGGGACTGATTCTGTCTGATCGTGATTGATCGGGTTGTTTGGAGCGATCAGCTGATTGCCCCTGATTGCCTGAAACCGGCTTCCTGCCTTCCTAGAAGTTTTCAATCGTCTTTGATCGAGCCGATCAAAGTCGATTGGGCCCACGTCCTTATCGGCGATCGGTCACAATAAGAACTTGAACAATCGCGGTACAATATTTTCGGAGTACATGAAAAAACAAAGCAAATCCAAGTGCGGCTCGAATTCTACCAGAAACTTGTGTGTGTCGGTGGAAAGTGGATTCGGACTGGGCTGCACAAGACAATTTGTACGAAAGACTACGTGTACAGCATCCGTTGTGTTGTGCCTTTTCCTTTCATCCTCGTAAACTGGACTGGTCTCCAATCTAAGGCTGGACGCAGGTCAGAGGAAAAACCAGGACGAATAATCGAGGTCACCGACTTTCCATGCGGCACTCCGAAAGCCACAAATATTAGACTCGTTTGAAGATGACACTGTAAACTGAGGAGAAACATGATCAAGCCAGTACATCAATAACAATGTCAAGTGTCTCATTCAAACAATCCATGGTGTCGGTTATACACGATATGATCCATTAAAAAACTTCAGATTGGGCATTATTAAGTCATAATAGTGCCATTCATCACTTCATTGTCTATGTATTTCATGCGTGGACCATTTGTAACAGCTATAATGCACGAAATGAGAAATAATTATAATGCACAAAATGAGGAATAAATTATAAAAATGCTATCATGTGGACCCCCCTGGCGTGTTCCTACAGCCCCTTACCTCTTATCAGGCTCGCGTCAAACTGCGTCAAAGTTGTACAACCTGACGTCGCCCTAAGGGCGTGTCCAGCGCGTACATTTTGGGAATATTAGTACCTTCACACGTTTCCCGGCTCAAAAAATCTCACTGTACCAAAAAACGAATATAAGGTGAGTCGAGTCCGAAGGATTGGGCCTTCCAGCGCGCGGACACAACCCTCTGCACACAAATTTCTACAGTTCGTGGAAAACGAGGTAACTGGTTGCCTCGTCTATCATCGCACAGAAATTCACGCACAAGCGAAAATTCCACGCTTGAACGAAAATTACTGTAGCGGGCAGGACGCAATGCTGTACCCTTGTTCGCGCGCACACTGATTCCAGTAACGTGTGTTAGACGATTCGTCGTACGCGCAGCGGGCGTGCCGTCTTGTGAACGGAAGCTGATCGTGTCCAACCTTTTTGTAAAATGCAGTGTTACAATAGGAAATGTGGTAACTGAATGGGTTTATGAACTGTAAATGTACGCGCTGGACACGCCCTAACTGCACTATCTCGTCAAGCAAGACTGTACAACCGCGAATCCGCCAGAACCACACAAACAGAGCTTCCTACAGATGCCACACTCAAGCCTCGCAGCCTCCCCCCTAATGCACTGCGGCTGATGCGGCAACGCCTCCGTTAGCCTCTCATGATTTCGTGACACCGTCAATTCTAGCTCTCTGAAAGCAACCTTCACGAATGGCTTCGTCTCGACCGTTGGATCGCATCGGCCTCCCGCAGCCGCTGATCAACCGGTTCTTCGCGCGAGGCTTGACTACTGCACAGGTGCGCGGGGGGGGGGCTTGAAGCGGTGATATCGCAGTAAACTGGGGAAGGGAGGAAGGATAAGCGGGTGGGAAACCTGGGGATGAACAGGGGAACGAGCGGGTAAAGGCGATCCTCCGCTCCTCCGGCTCCTCCCGCTCCTCCCGCTCTTCCCGCTCTTCCCGCGCATCCCGCGCATCCCGCGCTTCCTCTCCTCCAGCAAGTCCTCTCGTTGACCGCCGTTGACCTCATGGAAGTGCTTGACTGCGACGGCGCGACCGTGCGCGACGCCATGATCGCAGTCTCGCGCGCCGCCTGTCCGCCGTCCTGCACCGTCGCCGACATCGCCGCGGCCGGCGGAACCGGCCACCTGCGCCTCGACCTCCCCGCGCTCGACGCCGCGCTCGCCGGCGGGCTGCCGTGCGGCGCGATCACGGAGATCGCGGGCCCGGCAGGCGCGGGGAAGACGCAGATGTGCATGCAGGCCGCGGTCATGGCGACGCTCCCCGCGTCTGCCGGCGGGTTTAACGCGTCCGTGGTGTATTTCGATACCGAGAGGCGGTTCAGCCCGAAGCGCGTGGCGGAGATTGCTCTGAACCGGTTCCCCGCCTTCTTCTCGTCCCACATGGCCATGGAACAGGTTTGAGCACATTTGGGCACATTTGGGCACATTTGGGCACATTTGGGCACATTTGGGCACATTTGGGCACATTTGGGCACATTTGGGCACATTTGGGCACATTTAGGCATATTTGGGCACATTTAGGCACTCGTTCCCTCTCTCTGTCGCTTCCTCCCTCTCCTCTCCTCTTCTATCCTATCACGCCCTTCCTCGTCTCTTTCCTTTATTCCTCTCTTCTTCTCTTCCTTATGTTTTCTCCTCTCCTCTTTCCTTCCCTCCTCATTCCTGAATTTCCTTCCTGTTCCCTTTCCGCCTCTTTCGTAGTATTCAACCCCGTTTTTCCTCCCTTTCCCCCCCGCTTCACCCTGCCTGCCTGTTCGTCCCTCCCTCGCTGCCCTGCCCAGTATATGTTCTCCTCCTGGTTTCTTCCATCCCCTTCCACCAGCTCCTTTCGCGCATCCTATTAGTGCAACCAGTGTCCTCAGCAGAGCTCTTGGATAGGTACGCTTTCAGCAGAGCTTGACTTTCCCGCTCTCAGCAGAGCTTGACTTTCCCGCTCTCAGCAGAGCTTGACTTTCCCGCTCTCAGCAGAGCTTGACTTTCCCGCTTTCAGCAGAGCTTGACTTTCCCGCTCTCAGCAGAGCTTGACTTTCCCGCTCTCAGCAGAGCTTGACTTTCCCGCTCTCAGCAGAGCTTGACTTTCCCGCTCTCAGCAGAGCTTGACTTTCCCGCTCTCAGCAGAGCTTGACTTTCCCGCTCTCAGCAGAGCTTGACTTTCCCGCTCTCAGCAGAGCTTGACTTTCCCGCTCTCAGCAGAGCTTGACTTTCCCGCTCTCAGCAGAGCTTGACTTTCCCGCTCTCAGCAGAGCTTGACTTTCCCGCTCTCAGCAGAGCTTGACTTTCCCGCTCTCAGCAGAGCTTGACTTTCCCGCTCTCAGCAGAGCTTGACTTTCCCGCTCTCAGCAGAGCTTGACTTTCCCGCTCTCAGCAGAGCTTGACTTTCCCGCTCTCAGCAGAGCTTGACTTTCCCGCTCTCAGCAGAGCTTGACTTTCCCGCTCTCAGCAGACAATCATTTCTCTTCCCTCAGTCCAGTCCCTCTCTTTCTCACGCACACACACACACACGCGTGCGTTCATTCACACTCGTGCACGCACGCACGCATGCGCCCGCCCACACAGCATGCACCTGCACTGCACACTCACATGCGCACACACACAATCACGCACACAGAGTGCAAAGCTTCCTGTCTTGATGTTTTCTCGCCCTCATTTCCCCCCAACCCCACCTGCGCACCTCCCTTACCGTCCCCCTCTCCAGAGCGGCTGACATTGCTGTAGCTTCTGAGTTTCATACCTACCAATTTCTGCCCCCTACCCACTGCCCCTGCCTCCTGCCCCCTTCCCCTGTCCCCTACCCGCTGTCCCCTACCCCCTGCTCCCTGCCCCCTGCCCCCTGCCCCTGCCGCCACCCCTCTGCCCTCTGCCCCCTGCCCCCTGCCTCCTGCCCCTGCTTCTTGCCCCCTGCCCCCCTGTCCCCGTCACACGCCCATCTATCCCCCTTGTCTCAGAATAGCCAATCTGCACACGTCGCTGGCAGGCAACAGCACGCGGCTCATTATCATCGACAGCATTGCTGCCCTTGTGCGCATGTGAGCTCATGGCCTTCGTTGGTGCTTTAGATTAGACGCATTGCTGCCTGCCCGTTCACGCGTGTGAGCCTAGCGTAGGAATTCGATTGTTTCCTTTGAGGAAGGGAAAGTATGATCTGATCTGACAATACATCCTTCTTAAAAGAAGATACTCGTGGGTGTTGTTTCTTTTGTTCAAGCAATCTTTGGTCCGTGTTTGAGCAGAGGCGGGTAGCATGGGTGCCCCTCGTGTGGTTGTAGGTTTCGTTGTGAGGGAAGGTAGGAGGAGAGGGAGGCTGGAGGGGAAAGGGGTTAGACGAGGGGTTAGACGAGGGGTGAGGAATGGGGTCGGGAGTAGCCCTGATAATTGAAGAAAGCAGGTATTAGGTGCTGTGAGGTGACATGTGTTGTTTGCATGTGCGTGCGTTTTGTGTGTGTGTGTGTGTGTGTGTGTGTGTGTGTGTGTGTTTGTGTGTGTGTGTGTGTGTGTGTTTGTGTGTGTGTGTGTGTGTGTGTGTGTGTGTTTGTGTCTGTGTGTGTGTGCATGTGTGTGTGTGTGTGTGTGTGTGTGTGTGTGTGTGTGTGTGTTGCCGCGCATGCGTGTATGCGTGCGTGTATGCATTTGTGTATGCGGGGGTTCAACCAGTGAGTTTGGAGCGGACAATCTCGTTCAACGACAACAGCTGCTCTCCCATCAAGCATCAAAACTCAAGTGAGTCGCCTCGCCATCCCTTCAGTACTCTCTTGCTCCCACATCTCCCTCTTCCCCTTCTTCCCTTCAACCTCGCCCTTCCTCGTTGTCCACCCCTCGATAAGCCCTGGTGCATTTTCTCGTCATCTTCCCTCCTCCCGGACTCTCCCAGACTCTCCCCCTCCCTTTTGAGTCGACTCATAAGTTTTCTCGTCATCTTCCCTCCTCCCGGACCCCCCCCCTCCCTCATTATACTCCCTTCCCCTTCTCCACGATACTCCTTCCCCCCTTCCACTCCTGCATTCCACTCTCCGCTCTCCCCTGTGTTCCCAAGGTACCTAGCAGAGAGCTTCTGTCTGCCTGTGCTCGTCGCGAACCACGTTGCCTCAGCACCCTCCTCCTCTTCCTCCAATTCCCCGGCGCTGCATTCTATTCTCCTCTGTTCCTTCCCACCTATGCCCACACCACAAGGTACCTAGCGCACAGCTTTCGTCTGCCGGTGCTTGTCACAAACCCCCTTTCCCCCCCGTTTCCGCTCCTTCCCAACTCCTGCATTCCACTCTCCGCTCTCCCCTGTCTCCACAAGGTACCTAGCAGAGAGCTTCTGTCTGCCTGTGCTCGTGACAAACCACGTTGCCTCAGCGTCCTCTTCCTTCTCTTCCTCCTCTTCCTCTCGCTCTGGTGGTCCTCCTGTATCAAATGGTGAGGGCCCTTCTTGATTGTGTGTGTCTGCATGCTTCTGCCGATCGCGCTCTCCATGCAACAGTAACTCCGATTGCCCGCTTCTGTGTAGTAGAGTGCCACACAGGATATGACTCATGTTCAACACTACTGCACCCAAGTGCTCTCCTGAAGTTTTTATTTTCGGGTCACCGTCGTTCCAGGAACCCCGCTTATCCTGCACCATTTCTCTCCTATCTCGTGACCCGCATTCTACCTCCTCTCGAATGTCATCTCCACCTCTCTGGTTATGTTCCCGCTCCAGTTTTGAGAGACTGTTGTTTCTCCATCGCTCCGCTCCACCTCTCAAAAGTCCTTGGGCATTTCATTTCTCACTCGTGACCAGCGTTCTGCCTCCTGTCCCCTCCAGCTCTTTGATTACGCCCCCACTTCCCGCCTGCTGCCACGTCCTCTCCTCGTTTCCTCACCTCTCGTCTCTCTTCTCTCCCAGAGATGGACGGCAGGAGAGCAGCGCTGGGTGCCAAGTGGTCTCACTGTGTGAACGTGCGCCTGCTGCTCTCCACCGTCACCCATGCTTCTGGTACATGCATACATACATCGTTGCATGCATGCACACATAAGTTTGTGTACATTCATGCATGTGTTTACTTGCACCTGGTGGTACAAGGATTTGCAGACAAAGAGAGATGTGAAGATGTGAAGACAGTTCACCAATCGTTGGACAAAGAGAGATTTTCTGGGGAAGCCTTATTCAACCACCTCTCTTGCCTCTGCTTTGCCTGAATTCTTTTCATTGGCAGGCTCCCACCGTGTCTTGCATATTGCGAAAGCACCCATGGCGCCTCAAATCTCGTTTCCGTTCACCATCACCAACAGTGGCCTCCAGGTATTTTGTTGTCAAGTTTCTTGCCCCTTTTTGCCTTTGTTTTGCCCACCCCCACTCTCCCCCCCACCCCCCCCCCTCGCCCCTCCTCCACCTCCACTCCCGTCGATGGCATCAATCCCTTGTCACTCTGATTATCAAATCCTTTTCGTATCTTATCGCCACTGTGATTGCTTGCTACCTTTCCTCTGCAGCTTTTGTGATAGAGAGGATGTTTTGACTCAATGGTGGCATGACGTTTCGACAGCTAGTTTGCAAGTAGCTACGCAACTAGATCCCTTCATGTATATAATTTGTTCATAGGCATATAGTTTTACCCATTCTTTTGTTCATGAACCAATAATATTCACACTAGTAACTCATCTTCTTCTAGAGGCTTCTGAGAATGTATACGAACAGCTTCTGCCGAGCCCTCCTCTGCCCTAGACCCTGCTTGCGGCTAGATACGACGGTGAACATTTGCGGCTGCTCCTTTCCTCAACCCCCTAAAAACCCTTGTATAAATGCCACCCCTTCAACCTCCGCTAAACACATTCTATTTCGCCGTTTCCAAACCAAACCCAGACCCGCCTTCTGGCGTGGGTGTGGCCGTTCGCTGCTGGGCAATAGAAGTTTGCTCCGTGCTCGCGTGCATTGTAACGGATATTTCTATATTCTGTCTAGCGTACCTAAGGCTTATTGGGCTTGTTTCGACTGTCAAGAAATAATCGCACGCAGGGTCTCGCGAGAACTCGCACAGCGGCCGCCATGGCGGAGGAGTCCGAACCCCCGAAGAAGATGCTTCTCGACGACGATTACGAAGATGAGGTGGCGGTCGCGAAGGGTTACGTTGGCGAAGAGTTCGAGCTTCGCATCAACGAGGAATACGCGAAGCGCCTCGAGTACAATAAGCGGCGCGAGGAGATGCACAAATTGGAGGAGAAGGTAAAAGCGGGCTACCTGCCCTCGGGGGAAAGAAGCTCGGGGTTCCGTGGAAGAGGCCGCGGCGCTGGCGGAAGATTCGGCGGAAGAGGCTGGGCCGAAGGCGGAAGGGGAGGCGGTCGATGGGGCGGAAGGGGACGGGGTTTTGGCGGATCTTGGGGGCAAGATCGTCGGTTTGGGCGGAATGACGAGGCGCAGGGGGAGGGGGAGTGGGAAGCGGAGGCGGAGGCGGAAGAAGGAGAGGCGGAGGATAGCGAGGAGGAGGAGGACGAGCGGGACGAGCATCTCTTTCGCCTGGATCAAGATGTTAAATTCGTACAGGCCCTTACGAGGATCAAGAACAAAGATCCGGAGATCTTTAAACCTGGTAAACACCTCTTCGAATCGGACGGGGAGGAGGAGGACGAGGAGGAGGAGGAAGGGGAAGGGGAAGGGGACGGCGAGGAGGAAGCTGCGGGGGAGAAAGCGGGGAACGAAGAGGAGGACGAGGAGGAGGACGAGAAGGAGAAGAAGCAGAAGAAGAAGAAAAAGGCCAAGCCGGTTTATCTGAAGGACGTGTTGGCGCAGCAGGCGATCGACGGCGTCGGGCTCAGCGACGACGAGTCTGGCGGAGACGGTGACGGCGGCGGGGAGCGGGCGTCGCGGAAGGGCTACTTCGCGGAGCAGGAGGAGCTGAAGAAGGCGTTCCTCGACGGCGCGGAGGCAGGTGGGTGTGCGCGCGGGGAGGGGAGGCGGGTGGGTGCGTGGGGAGGGGAGGCGGGTGGGTGCGCGGGGAGGGGAGGCGGGTGGGTGCGCGGGGATGGGAGGCGGGTGGGTGCGCGGGGATGGGAGGCGGGTGGGTGCGTGGGAATGGGAGGCGGGTGGATCGAGGGGTGGGGGGGTGGGGCGCGAGGCGAACGCAAGTCATTTCCATTGCGCGTAGCTAGTGCTAGCAGGCTTATCCTGCATTGCTTCGAGGCCTTCTTTGCGTGAGCTAGTCTCGCGCACAAGGGCCGTATATACAAGTGGTTGTCAGGGTTCAGGGTTTTAGACGTTGTGCATGGTATTTGTCATTTTCTTAGCCAACCCAGTCCACGTGTATCAGCCAGGGGTTTATCCGCGGAGGTTGGGCATTTCTAGTGGTTAATTCGCGCAGACGGCGAATTTAAGGGCCTTGTCCAGGTATTTGCGAGTCACTTTTGGACAATCTCCCGTTGCACGTTCGAATCGAGTCCAGCTGTTCGAAATGATGAGGCGACTGCATATCGCGTCTTGTCCCAGTGGTGGTGAGGCGAGCGAGGCCCAGTCGCATGTCCTTCCTTACTTGCCTTACCTGTTGTAAGCTGTTATTGTTCCAAGCATTTTCGAAGACGCCAACAACCAGGAGCCTCGCGGCGGTGACCCTGAGGTCTCAAATAGGCTAGCGCAGGCTGGCGTGATAGGATGGCGGCTTGTGAGGCCGCTTGTGAGGCGGCCGTGCCGTGTTCAAGGATTGTTGCGCTGGCGCGATTGCCTGCTCTCTGGAGTGCTGATGGTTTATTCGAGTAGAGAGAGAGAGACGTTTTTGATTTGTTGGGTTTTTTTTTCATTATTATTATTGTTTTTTTTTTTCTCAATGTGGCACGTGGCACAGCTGAGGAGGGCGAAGAGGGCGAGCTTCTGCGAGTCAAGAAGAAAAAGGGCAGCAAAAAGGCTCAGAAAAAGGCGGAAGGCGAGGATGCGGAGGAGGAGGAGGACGAGGAGGACGAAGGGGAGGAGGAGGCGGGCGGGTGGGGCGACCCGGCGGTGAAGGGCGAGGTGCAGAAGCGGCTGGAGGAGTTCTTTGGTCGCGACGAGCAGCAGCTCTCGGAGGTGGACCAGTACCTCAAGTCGTACCTGCTGGAGCGGAAGTGGGTGCAGGACGACGAGGTGAGACGGGGAGAGGGTTATGAGATGCGAGTGGGAGGGGCGATGGGAGAAGCGGGGAAGGATCGGGGGGGCGCATGGCATGAGAGGAGGTGGACCAGTACCTCAAGTCGTACCCTCTGGAGCGGAAGTGGGTGCAGGACGATGAGGTGAGGACGGGGAGAGGAGATGTGTGAGCGCGTGCGTGAAGGTTGGGACCGGGTGTTGCTTGGTTTGGATTAAATGGGGGAGGAGGGGAGTAGACAAAGTGGGGTATGGGTGGGGTGGGGTTGACGCAGTGTGGAGAGGTGGCGCGGCGACGCAAGTTGTTTGTACCTGTTAGAACGCACGTAGGCTCGGGCGTTCCTTTTTCTTGTTGTTGTTGATTTGCTTTTCTTTCTCAAGCTGTTTTTTTTTTCCTGCTCTCTTCCTCTTGTTGGATCTACTGCTCGCCCCTAGCCCAGCCCATACCCTATCTCCCTCAACCTCAACCCCACTTGTAATAAGTCGATTTTTGAGTCCACTAAAAAATGGATCCACTGCTCGCCCCTAGCCCATACCCTATCCTATCCTATCCTATCCTATCTCCCTCAACCTCAACCCCACTCCTCACCGCACGGCAGGACGCGGGGTTACGAGGAGCTCTCTCTTACTCGTCTGTTTTCCACCCCACCCCCATCAATACACCCTTCCATTTTTCCCCATCCCAACCCACCAAACTCCGTGTCACCGCACGGCAGGACGCGGGGTACGAGGGGCTACTGGGCGGGCCGGAGGTGGACGAGGAGGACGAGGAGGAGATTAAGGAGCAGGATGAGTTTGAGGAGCTCTTCAACTTCCGCTACGAGGAGCCGGGCGGCGCGTTCGTTGCTTCTTATCCCAGGTGGGTGGACGGGATATGAGGGGACGGGATGGGCGTTGAGAGGGTAGGTCAGGTCAAGGCATGAAGTACGGGAGGAGAAGAGCAGGATGAGTTCGAGGAGCTCTACAACTTCCGCTACGAGGAGCCGGGCGGCGCGTTCGTCGCTTCTTATCCCAGGTGAGACGACACGAGACATGGGAGGGGAGGGGTGGGGCCGGGGTGAGGAGATTAGGGAGATTAGGGAGATTAGGGTGCAGGATGAGTTCGAGGAGCTCTACAACTTCTGCTACGAGGAGCCGGGGGGGGGCGTTCGTCGCCTCCTACGCCAGGTGAGAAGGGGAAGGGACGGGAGGGGACGACATGAGAGGGGATGGGATGGGATGGGATGGGACGAGAGGGGACGGGATGGAGAGGGCGTTGGGGCTTTTGATTGGCAGGTCTGCCTGAACGAGGAGTTGGAGGAGCTCTATAACTTCTGCTACGAGGCTCGGAGCCGGGTGGAATCCGCGTGTAGTGAGGTGAGGTGAGGTGTGGTGATGTTTGAAGCGCCAGAAAAATGAGTTGGAGGAGCTTTATGATTTCCGCTACGAGGAGCCGGGTGGGGCGTTTGTTGCCTCCTACCCCAGATGGGTGAGACGCTGCAAGGGGTGGGGTGGGGTGGGATGGGATGGGATGGGCTGGGATGTGATGCAAAGGCTCACTACGCAGCTCTTCCGCTCTTCTTTTCTGCTCGCCTTTCCCCTCGCATTCCCTCCTCCTCCCTTTCTGCACTCTCCCCTCCCCTCGCCTTTAACCCTGCCATTCCCTTGCTCGTCTGTCTCGTTGAGCGGGGAAGCGGGCGAGGAAGGGAACGGCAGGGTTAAAGGTGAGAGAGCGGAGGGCATCAATGGAGGCAGAGAGGCAGGCAGGCAGAGCTGTGACGGCTCTCAAGAAGACTTTTGAGTCGACTCAAAAGTCACCTCGGAGGGCAGCAATGGAGGCAGAGAGAGGCAGGCAGGCAGAGCTGCGACGGCTCTCAAGAACCTCAAGAAGCTACCTCTCACTCTCTCTCTCCCCTCAACTCCTTTCTTGCCCCCGCCCCTCCCTAACCCTCCTGCTCTCCTTTTTCCCATCCGCTTTTCCCCGCGCCCCCCCCCTCTTCCCCATTCCGCTCGCCCTTTCCCCCGCTCCCGCTCCCCCTTTCCCCCTTGCCGCTCCCCCCCTCTCCTCCACCCCCCGTCCATTCAGGGAGATAGAGGGGTTGGTGCGGCGCGAGATGGATGCGAGGAAGAGACTTTTGAGTCACCTCTGCCCCTCCTGCTCCCCTCTCCTCCCCCCTCCCGTTCCCCCCCCTCTCCACCCGCCGTCCATTCAGGGAGATTGAGGGGTCGGTGCGGCGCAAGATGGACCGCCTTGACTCATGTTCCAAGGGCAGCAGGTTTTTTTTTAAGGGCGCCTCAAAAGTCGCTCCTCCTGTTCCCCCCCTTCCACCCCCTCTATTCTTCAGAGAGATAGAGGGGTCGGTGCGGCGCAAGATGGACCGCCTTGACTCATGTTCCAAGGGCAGCAGGTTTTTTTTTAAGGGCGCCTCAAAAGTCGCTCCTCCTGTTCCCCCCCTTCCACCCCCTCTATTCTTCAGAGAGATAGAGGGGTCGGTGCGGCACAAGATGGAATCGAGGAAGCTGGCGAGGAAGGCGCGGGCGGAGCGGCGTGCAGCACTGGAGGCGGAGAGGCAGGCGGAGCTGCGACGGCTCAAGAACCTCAAGAAGCTCCCTCTCACCCTTTTCCCTCTACTCCTTTCTTGCCCTCCCCCCTCCTACCCTCCCGCTCTCCTTTCTCCCTCTCCTTTCCCCCTCGCCTCCCCCCTCTTCCCCCTCCCGCCCCCCCCCTTCCCCCTCTATTCTTCAGAGAGATAGAGGGGTCGGTGCGGCGCAAGATGGAATCGAGGAAGCTGGCGAGGAAGGCGCGGGCGGAGCGGCGTGCAGCGCTGGAGGCGGAGAGGCAGGCGGAGCTGCGACGGCTCAAGAACCTCAAGAAGCTCCCTCTCACCCTTTTCCCTCTACTCCTTTCTTGCCCTCCCCCCTCCTACCCTCCCGCTCTCCTTTCTCCCTCTCCTTTCCCCCTCGCCTCCCCCCTCTTCCCCCTCCCGCCCCCCCCCTTCCCCCTCTATTCTTCAGAGAGATAGAGGGGTCGGTGCGGCGCAAGATGGAAACGAGGAAGCTGGCGAGGAAGGCGCGGGCGGAGCGGCGTGCAGCACTGGAGGCGGAGAGGCAGGCGGAGCTGCGACGGCTCAAGAACCTCAAGAAGCAAGACATTCTTGAGAAGCTTCAGAAGATTAAACTCGTTGCTGGGCTGGGCGGAGGGGACGGGGACGGTGGAGGGAAGGGAGGGAAGGGTGGGAAAGGAAGGAAAGGGAAGGGAGGAGGTGGGTGGGGAGGTGGGGAGGAGTGGGATGGGGAGGAGGCGGCTGGGCCGATGGTTGAGTTGCTGGAATCGGTTGAATTTGAGGACGATTTTGACCCTGTTCTGTTTGATGCTAAGATGAGAGTTGCTTTTGGGGAGGAGTATTATGGGAAGGAGGATAGGGAGTTGGCTGAGGCGAAGAAAGAGGAGGAGGGGGAGGAGGAGGAAGAGGAGGAGGGAAAGAAGGGGAAGAAGGGAAAGAAGGAAGCGACTGCCAAAGATGATAGTGAGGAGGAGGAAGAAGAGGAGGATGAAGAGGAAGATGAAAACGAAGAGGAGGAAGAGGAAGAGGAGGAGGAAGAGGAAGAGGAGGAGGAAGAAGAGGAGGAGGAGGAGGAAGAAGAAGATGAGGAAGAAGAGGAGGGGAAGAAGGGAAAGAAGGAAGCGACTGCTAAGGATGATGGTGAGGAGGAGGAAGAGGAGGAAGAAGAAGAGGAAGAAAAGGAAGCGGAGGAAGAGGAAGAGGAGGAGGAGGAGGAGGAGGAAGAGGAAGAAGAAAACGAAGAAGAGGAGGAAGAAGAGGAGGACGAGGAGGAAGAGGAGGATGAGCAAACGGTAAAGAAGGGGAAGAAGGCAGCTGCTGCTAAAAGTGATAGTGAGGAGGAAGAGGAAGAGGAGGAAAATGAAGAGGGGGAAGAGGAGGAAGAGGAGGAGAAAGAGGAGGTAGAAGAAGAGGAGGCAGAGGAGGAGGAGGAAGAGGAGGAAGAAGAAGAAGAGGAGGAAGAGGAGGAAGACGAGGAAGAGGAGGAAGAGGAGGAAGAGGAGGAAGAGGAGGAAGAGGAGGAGGTGGGAAAGCCTGATTTTGAGAAGGAGGACGAGCTGTTGGGGCTACCCAAGGGGTGGATGAACGTGGGTTCCAAGGGGTTCGGTGCGGTGCGCCAGAAGCTCATGAAGCAAGGCCTCATCCCCAGCGCTTCTGCTTCTTCGGGAAAGAAGAAAGGAGATGAGGAGGAGGAGGAGGACGACGAGGAAGAAGACGAAGAGAATGAAGAGGAGGGAGATGTGGAGATGGAGGAAAATGAAGATGATGACGAGGAGGAGGAGGAGGAGGAGGAGGAGGATGAGGAGGAGGAGGAAGAGGGCGGAGAGGGGGGGAGGGGGAGTGCGAGGAAGAGGAGGAAGCAGCAGCAGATGTCAGTACGTGAGAAGGTGGCGTTTGACAAGCGCCTGGAGGAGTATTACAAGCTGGACTATGAGGACATGATCGGTGAGTGGGTGGTTGTGATGGTTGGTGGTGATGGTTGGTGGTGATGGTTGGTGGTGGGTCTGCTTTTGAGTCGACTCAGAAGGTGCTTTTGAGTCAACTCAGGACATGATCGGTGAGTGGTGATGGGTGCTGGTGAGTTGTGGTGGGTGCTGGTGGGTGATTGGTGGGCTGTGGGTGAATGGTGGGTTTTTTTCATGTATGCGTCCTACGAGCACCCTGTTTGATCCACGTCCATCAACAACCCAGTGCTACAACCCCTTGAAGCCCACGTTCATCCACGTTCATTGGCAGGCTCTTTTCTCGCTTCCGTGTTTGTCCAGGTCTGCAGCATGAAGCCCTAGGCCTAGGGCCACCATCGGTCGTCTCTACCTCTCTCCCCCGTTCCAATTCTTTCCCATCTCTGCCTTCTCCTCGTCTTCTACGTACCCCCACTCTCCCTTCCTGTTCCCTCCCACCAGGCGACCTCCCAACCCGTTTCAGGTACCAGCAGGTAAAGCCCAACAACTACGGCCTCAAAGTCGATCAGATCCTTCAGCTTCGAGACAAGGATCTGAACCAGATCGTGTCACTTAAAAAGCTAGCTCCTTACCAGCCCGAGGAGTGGGTCGTGCCTAAGTGGCGGCGGCGGCAGGTGCTAAGCGCGGCGCTTAGAGCGCAGCAGGATGAGGAAGGGCGGAGGAAGAGGGAGGCTAAGGGGAGGAAGAAGGGGAAGGGGAAGGATGGGAAGGGGAAGGGAAGGAGGGAGCCGTTTATCAGGTTGGAGGAGGAGGAGGAGGAAGAGAGGGGTGGAGAGGATATGGATGGAGAAGAGGGGGACGAGGAGGCTGAGGAAGGGGGGATGATGGAGAGGGAGGGAGCGAGGAAGAGGAAGAGAGGGAAGGAAGGGAAGGAGAAGGGGAAGGAGGAGGATGAGGAAGGAGCGGGAGAGGGGGCGGAGGAAGGGAAGAAGGCAAGGAAGCGCAACAGAAGGAAGAAGCAGCAGGAGCAGGGAGAGGGGGGAGCAGAGAAGGCACATGGGCAGCAGGAGAAGAACAAGGAGAAGCAACAGAAGGACAAGAAGGAAAAGAAGGATAAGCAGGCACAGGGGGCAGGCGTTGCGTCAGAAGGGGAGGACGCGGGCCCGAAGGTGAGCAAGGCTGTGAAGAAGAACCTGGCGAGGAAGCAGAAGAGGCATGAGAAGATGCTTCTGGAAGGGAAGGACGGCAAGCAGGCGCTGTCGGTGTCCCGGCTGCAGTCGTACGGTGTGATTCCCGTTGAGAAGGAGAAGAAAGGCAAGAAGGAGAAGAAGGGGAAGTAGTGGGGTTGGGGCTTGGGGAACTCTGAGACGTCTCAGAACTCGCTGTCGGTGTCCCGGCTGCTGTCGTACTGTGTGATACCCGTTGAGAAGGAGAAGAAGGGCAAGGAGAAGGGGGGGAAGAAGGGGAAGGAGAAGGAGAAGTAATGATGTGGGTTGGAGAAGTGCTGCTGGCGGTGTCAGGGAGGCAGTGGTTGCGCCTTTTGAGGCAGGCTTTGATCTGGTGTGGTGTGCTTATGTGCTTTCGAGGCGCCTTATAAGAGCATGAGGGAAGCATCTTTGAGGAGGTGGCACCTGCATTTGTGGTGAGTCTAAGAGGGCTGACCTGTGGAAGAGGGGAAAGGGCTTGGAGGGGGGATTGTGAAGGGGGGGGAGGTCAAGAGGGGGGCCTGGTGGAGGGAGCTCCTGAGGCTCGGTGGCATCTGTGAAGATGTGAAATGACTTAGGTATTATCTGATGAGCTGAGTTATGCATGAACTCCATCCGCTGGTAGCAGCTGTTTATGTGCTGTGCGATGGCAGTGGGGTTTGAGGCAAATGGAAGATGGGTGGGGAAGTGTGTCGCGACGAGTGAGAGCAAGGGGGAAAGTCAAATGAGGGGAGAGACAGGGGGATTGTAAGGGCGGCTTGTTGGTTGATTGGGGAACATTTCTGGTTGTTAGATGTTTGACCAGTTGGAAGTTTTATTTCTGGGCCGGAATCATGTAGTCATTACGGTAGATGATTTTGCTCAAATCAAGGAATCGTCAGCAAGTTTCTAAGATTCACAGTAATAATTAGTTACTGTACTATTCGTAAGTTTCGCATCGCGATGCACCCAAGAAATCCTCCTCTCCCAACCTGCTCGAGGGCAATTTCGGACAAAGCCATTGCCATGCACATGCACGATACGCATCGCGCCGCGGTTTTCCTCGACGGCGGCTGTCATTGCAGCAAGAGCGTTGCCGCCAGCGACCCTTGACAAACCTTTGACCTCGACTGGGCTGGGCTCGTGTTTGAGCCAGGCCTTCATTCCCACCACCCAAGTCCCGTCAAGTGTTTGTAGTTGTCGACAACGATCGTTGTCGCTCACATGCATTCCAGGTCGTCCCTGCTCACCGAGCAGGTTTAATTCTATCCAACCCTGTGCTCTGCGCTCTTCAAAGGATCCTTTGGGAACCTCATGAAAACTTTGGATTTTCTATCCCGTTTATCAAGTTACTTGGTATTGACTGTGTTATGTGGTAGAATTCATGCGTATGTTCCGGAACGGCATCAGCGCGTGGGGGACTTGACAGAGAACTTTCATTGCACGAGCATCTTAGGAGAGCACGGACTGGATTGACAGAGATGACTCGGTCATGGGAGGAGCGACTTTTGAGACGTCTCAAAAGCACGAGCATCTTGGAGACGTGGGTGAGGATTGACAGAGGCGATTCGGTTCTGGGAGGAGCGAGCAAATGATTCAGAAGCGGTTCCGCGCCTTCAGCGCCAAACGAAGTAACAATTACCAGGCACGTCTCTAATGGAGTTTCAAATTAACAAGCTTCTCCTGAAAGTGGCTGACTGGTGGTGTGAGCCGTTGCGTGGCAGTGGTGGCTGGCGCTCCCTTCTCTGAGGCTTGAAAAAAACTCCTCATTCGCGGTGATACCACCTCTGATTTGAGCACTGCATGGTGAGTTCAACAAAAGGTTTTGCCTCTGTGCAGTGCCCCTTGGTTTCCAGCATAATTTCGGAAGGAACAAAACTGCCAGGAGGAACAGTTCTTGGACGTCCTGCTAGACAGCCGACGGGCAAAACTGCTAGTCCAGAAGGTGCATACAAATGCCCAGAGCTCCCGCCAAAAGATATCTGTGCCAGCCGGGAATCGAACCCGGGTCTGCACCGGGCTCATGGCAGGGTGCTATTCTACCACTAGACCACTGGCACGGTCAGATGTCATGAAGAGTGAAGCTTCATTAATCATATGCGGCATGCAATGGCATTGTAAGGTTGATAAATTCTGAGAAGGTTCAAAGTGGTGAAGTCAAAAGCACAGCATCTTACTACTGTCAAATTGCAAGCCATAATCATGCATTTGTGATCCAATTGCAAATATAGCCAAGATGATCCTTGCCATTACCCCTCTCCCTTGCCAATTATCCAAAGTACCCGCTACGGAATCAGTCCAGTTCATACCGTACGTCCCACAAAGAGCCTCCTAAAACAAACAACCAACCACCTACCTACCTCTCTTCAGGAACAGGCTCAGTCAACTTCACCCACTGCGGCTTCTCACACTCTTCCTTGTTGAGATGCTTCAGGCACTTGGCCTGCACGCCCTCCCCTCCGTCCACCAGCAGCGGCAGCTTCAGCAACGGGCCCCCATGTAGCCCCTGCACCTCCCACTCCTTATCCACACCACCCAACCCTGCCCCTCCCGGCCCTGGCAACCCAACAGACCCATCAGAAGACGAATCAGATGAGGATGAGGAGGATGAAGATACCGTTTGTGAAGGTGATCCCGCGTTTGTGGAATATGAACCTTGATCGGCCGCCGTCACTGACGCAAACTCCCATGCTGCCGAGGAGGAGGAGGACGACGACGACGACGGTGCTGGCACTTCCTGTCCCCGCCTGCTCCGCGGGAGCCCCCCCTCCGTCCCGTCACTCCCTGTCCCAACGGGTTTCTCCGTCTGCTCGTTCCACAGATCAGCCACTGTGATGATCTGGCACCCAGATCTCACCGCCTGGTCCCACATGAACACCGCCAGTTCCGACCGCATCGGCGCAACCGGACACACCACCAGATGCCCGGAGGCGATTTTATCCGCCGCGAGGGAGTCTAGCGTTTCTACGATGAGAACAGCTTGGTCCGGCGTGTTGTGGATGTCTCCTTCTCCTGCGGCTGTTTGTGCAGTGAACAGCACGCGCCCCTCGAGAGACGGTGACATTTGGCGGTATACTGGGAGGGCTTTGGAGTCGGAGAGGAGGAAGAGGAAGCGGCCGGCGGAGGCGGAGAGTGCGGGCCAGGCGGTGCGCGTTGCGATGGCGGAGGCGAGGGTTTCGTGGGAGGCGCGTACCTCGTCGGGTGTGATGATCTGCGAGCGCGGGATGACCGAGAGGATTTCGAGCTCGAGATCCAGGAGGCTCTGTAGTGCGGGAGAGGGAAGAGAGGGGGGAGTTCATTTTCAGGGAGTTCATTTTCAGGGAGTTCATTTTCAGGGAGTTTAAGGGGACGGGATGATGGAGAGGATTTCGAGCTCAAGGTCCAGGAGGCTCTGTGGTGCGGGGGTGTGGGGGAAGGGGCGATGAGGGAAGGGGAAGGTGAATGTTGAAGGAATTTGAAGGGGACGGAATGACGGAGAGGATTTTTTATACGAGGTCCAGGAGGCTCTGTGGTGTGTGTGGAGGAAGGGAGGGGAGAGGGGGATGAGGTGAAACCTGAGTCAACTGATTTATCGATGTGAGGATGAGGATGCTCTGTGGTGTTGGGGAGAAGGGGAGGGGGAGAAGGGGTGGGGCAGGGGGAGAGGGAGAAGGAGATAGATAGTAAATCAAGTAAAATTTGAAGGGAAAGGTATAATGGAGAGGATTTCTGATTAAGACGTTTCAGAACCAATCCATTTTTACTGGTGTCCAGGAGGCTGTGGTGGGTGGGTTGGAGGAAGGGAACGGAAGAGGGTGAAATGGAAGGGAAATGGAAGACGCACCTTTGAAACAAGAATCTTACACAGCGGAAATCAGCGCACTACTGAACGTTTGATAAAACAGGGAAGGTCCTGGTCTGCTATATGCATTCCTCACGCGCTATTCGGTATCCCCCACCACATGTCATACTCTGTTATCCCCACCTGTTCCAAGACGGGCAATGGCCGTGTGAGCATTTGAGTAAGATTGCGTAGCAGCGGAAAGCCATCGCTATGAACATCAGCTCTTCTACAGGCACTTTCTGCACAATGTTTCCCCCACCTGTTCCGTGACGGGTAGGGGCGGTGTGAGCAGTTTATTGAGCTTGCGCAGCAGCGGGAAGCCGTCGCCAAAGTCGATGTTGACGGTGATGGGCAGGTGCCGCGGGTGCTGGTCGGAGAAGGCTTTTACTGCCGCCAGGCAGTCGCGCAGCGTGGCGCACGTGGAGAGGAAATCCACATCCTGCATGCGCATCACCTGTAGGGGTGGAGGAGGGGGGTGCGGGGGGGAGGAGGGGGGTGGGGGTTGTGGATGGGGGTGGATGGGGGTGGATGGGGGTGGATGGAAGGGAGGGGGAAGACCAGTGGGGAGAAGGGGTTGAGCAGCGGGGCGCACGTGGAGAGGAAGTCCACGGCCTGCATGCGCATCACCTGGTGTTGGGGAGGGAGAGAGGGGGAGAGGGGTTGGCGTGCATGGAGACAGGGAAGTGGTAAGTCGGTCCAGGGGTGAACAGGCACGGGGGTGCGTGGTGGTGCATTGTGGTGCGTGGTGGTGCATGGTAGTGCGTGGTGGTGCATGGTAGTGCGTGGTGGTGCATGGTGGTGTTGGTCAACAGAATGATATTGTTTTAAGGGAGGGAAGGAGAGAGGTGTGCAGGTAGGGGGGGGGGAAGCAGTGTAAGTAGCCTTTAAGTGGGTAACTATGGCGAGTGACCAATCGGGGGACAAGGATAAAAGTTACGGGAATAAGTCAGGAAACGAACAAGTCAAGAGGAAGAGCAAAAGGGGTGCGGGAGGGAAGGGGAAGGTGGAGATGAATAACCCTGCCTTTAGGGAAGGAAGGAAGGGCAATTTACTCTTTCGGGTTAATTCTGCATTTCTTGGTGATCTGCTTTCGGTTATTTATAACATGACCAACCAGGCCAAGCCACTGCAAGCATCTTCAATCCAGTCCTCTCACACTCGGGGCACACACCTTTCTCTCTTGCTCACGTGTACACACTCACGCACCTTGTAGCCCGGCTGGTTGAGATTGAGTTGAGTGTTGTTCGATGGGTCTATGCGCTGATACACGTTAGGGGAGGAGTAGCGCCCCCCCTCGGGATCATACAGCACCTGGATTGGTGGGGGGAGAAAGGGCGGAGAAAGAAGGAGAGAAGGATGGGAGGAGGGAGAAGGAGGATTGGGAAGTTCATGGCTGGGACAGAGGACAGAGAGGGCAAGGGCAGGGATAGGAGGGGAAAATTGGGTGGACCAATTTGAGCGTTTAAAATATACACTGTGGAAACCTGAGTATTAGGTACGGTTCTTGAACCATTCTTTTTTTTTTGCAAATCAATTGACCTGTGGAGTTTTTTATCTGCCCCTGCGATTCTTGATCAGGCACCGAATCTTTACCACTCGAACAGACTTACATCGAGGTGTACATAACGGTAACCTGCCGAGAGCTGCTCCTGTAACGGCTTGTGCGTGAAATTCGTGGTGCGAGCAAACGACATCATTCCGTTGTCCTGCAGCCACCTAAACACCTCCGGTTCGGGCGCCACGTGGTAACTTCTGCGACTCCCCACAACTTGAACTTCGTTCATTCGCAACGAATGCGGTCCGAGGGGAATTAGGTAATCCTCTGGGTTACCACCATCGCCGTTTTTCGCTAGCACCACCAGCCACACACACACCATCACCCCAACCACCAATCCTACCGCGGCAATCAGCAGGACCAGCAACCAAACATGCGCCGAAACCTTTCCGCCAAACCCTCCCCCTCCGCCACCTCCCCCTCCCCGGTCCCCCGTCCCGGTAGCGGTTGGCGAACTCAACGGCGTTCCGCCAGCGGGGCGCGCGAACGCTGACGAAAACCAATCGCGAAGCGCATCCAGCGACGAGAGGTTGGATGACGACGGGTGCGACGACAAACCCCGCGGGAAGAGCCGCGGATGCGCCGCGAGCCTAGGAGACGGCCTAGGATTAGGGAGGTAGAGATTAGGGTGGTTAGAATGCAGCATCCCAGGAGAAAGAAGCGATTCCACGTCATCTCCGCCATCCACCGCGCGAGCGCTTCCCGCGATCCCCGCTATTCCAAGATTACCGCCAGAGCCGTGCGGGCTCGTGCCGGCTCGGCGGCCACGTGGCATCGCCCGAGGAATGGCCGCGCTGCTGCTTGTGTACTCCGCATTCGACGGCGATTTTTGCGCCCCATGTGCAGTTCCCGATGGGTACTCGATGCTTAGCGGCCGCAGCGGTCGTGCGGGGGCGCGCTGGCCCCCGTTGCTGCTGGCGGAGTCGCCGTTAGAGCTTGCGGAGGCTGTGCGGGGATCCGAAGTGGAAGCGGAAGGAGCGGATGTTGCGCCGTCGGGGTCCGCTGAAGGAACAGAAAAGGAGAACTCCCCTTCGGTGTTGGAGCTTGCGTAAGGTGCGGCATTGGGCTGCGCTTCGGCGGCGCCGCTTGCGGCGGAGGTCACGGCAGCTGCCTTGGACGACGCAGCCGCTGCTCGCGCCTTATCCTGCAGGGAGTAGTGCGGGCCGCGTTGTAGAAGTGGGGAAATCGGCGCACCGTTGGTAGATGTGGTTGTCGGAGAGAGCTCGTCTTCCCAACGCGATTCCGCAACGGTTGGGAGAGCGGGAGGATGAGGCTGGTGATGCTGGTTCGGTGGTGGCGCCATGGCTGCTGCGATGTGCTGCTGCTGCCGAATGTTTTGGTGCAATGCACGAATAGTGGAGCAGAAATGCGATTACGAAGTTGACGCACAATGTAGGGGTCTAGGAGGAAGTAATGCTGCTGCGAAGTACCGATCGAAGCAAGGATTGATTCTACGAGCAGGGTGAGAGGGGGGAAAGGAGGGCGGATGGTGGAAATGGATGGTCGTGGAGTATGTAAGGAAATCACTTTCAACTGTCACTCCCATAAGGCGCGGCAGCAATGAAGGTATTGCGAGCGGGCTCCGAGTGCTAATCCGACAGCAGCGGAATGAAGCTGATTTGAGTGGAGCATTTCGGCGACCAAACATCTCACTGCCTTATCCCACCAAACCAATTCAGCTGAGGCGTGGTGCATCCAGTTCGGATGCTGCCAAAGACAGCACTTTGAGAGAGGTTCTTCACGGTATTCTATGTTGGATCAAGCCGTGAATGCACCACACCACACCGAGTTGAACAACACAGCTAACTCACTCCCACTGCACGGAAACCTGGGTACATCCTCACGCGCTACTAGTAGTTTTTATACAATGTACTTAAAAAATAAAAAATGCGAGAGGCCACTTTTGTGTCTGCTGCTGTCGGCCATTAGGTAAATCAATAAGAACAGACACGCAATCCCGCCCAGAGGGCCATCTTCCCATGCGGAAATAACTGAACTCATGGAGAAAGACAAAAACGTGTAACAAATCCCAGCTAATTGAGACAAACCTGACCACTAACAGAGAACCCATATAGGCAAAACTGAACTCTTGTCGACGCCCAAATCGTTAAAGATGGGATTTGAATGGAAGAATCCAACGCAGTCCATCCGGGCCCTGGTGAGTCGAAACCCACCAGGTCCCCCTCCTGGTGGAACCGGGTTCCCACCAGGGCCGCACGCGGATGCAAGGGCTGTCGCGACCCACAGCTGGGAAAACGCACGCGAGCGGGAGTCCCCCGCCCGGCTGCAAGTCCCTAGCGAGATCCGGGCGGCGGAGTCAGCTGGCAGCTGCCCCCGCGCCGAGCCCCCTCCACGCCAGCGCCACGCAGCCCGGGACCACACCGGGATGTCCCCCGAAACCCAGCCCTGGCTAGCGAAACCCCTCGCGAAACCCCCTCGCGAGCCAACCACGCAGGCCCCGAGCGCGCCGAAGCGGGACGGCCAATCGGAGCCGTTTCCGATGGGCTTGGACCTCCAGCGAAACTCGATTTCAAGACTGGCCGCTCGTGCGAAGCGTCGCCTGTGCGCGCCGGCCAATCCGAGACGGTGCATACAGGAATACACATCGGAAACCCATCGCGAAATACACATCGCGCGTGCGACGGGTCGCCAGGGTTCGCCCAGAAATCATCCGCAATTTAGGACAGTGTTCACCCAACGGAATGCTGTTACACTCTTTTATTACTCGCAACTAATGTACGCGATTTACAATTCACATGACAATTCCGTTAAACTTAAAATTCACCTTGAAACCACCCCTCAATTTCGGCTGTTTGTAGTAATTTTCGATGGGGGGGTTATTGTTGAGATTTAGACCACCCCTCAATTTTGTTTAGTGTTTTAATTTTCGCAGGGTTTTGTTCACCGTTTTGGCCCAATTAAACGCGATTTACATTTATGAACGCGTGTAGTGTATTACTCGTTTGTGTAGAAAGGGGTAGATTGAGATCGTAACCCAACTTCTTGGCGGTCGCGACGAGGAATACACCCCGCCCGAGGTGGTAACTGTCGCCCCTTGCATGCAACCGCGGTCGGAGAGCCACATGGCGGGTGATGGTTCCACCCGCACGCGTGAACGGGAACGCCCCCCACATCGGGATGTCCGAAGGGGCCCGGGGGTTCCTCCCCACCTCGCGCAATGCCCCCCCCCCCCCCCCCCCCCCCCCCCCCCCCCCCGGCCTGTTGCTCGCGCTGCCCCCATCCCGGATGCGTCCCGTCCCTATTAGGCCTGTGAAACAGGGTTTCACGGGCTCATTTTACCTTTCTCACTTTGCTTTCCTTCTTGTCAACCTGCAACTTCTCGGTGCGAGCGACTTTCTGAGCTGTAGAGTTTGTGTTCGCGTTCGCGTTTAGTCAGTCCATCCTCATAGGGGTATACGCGTGCCCATTTATACTAGAATAGCCACACGCTGTAGTGAAGTTCACGCGTTCTGCCCCCGCCATGGCCGGTCGCGAATTGAAGGCGCTGTTGAACAGTGGCGAGCAGGGCGCTACCTACACAGCTACGATCTCGATCGCTGGCGCCACTGTGGAGCTCCCCCCCGAGCAGAGGAAGTGCTTCTCCGATGATAAGCACCCTTTCACCGCGACCTCATTCGACTTTCTCGCCTGGTAGGTCTTGTGATGCTGGGATTGGTTATAGCGCCTTTAATGGGACGCATCGCGTCGTTTTCAGTCTAGTTCAGGTCATCCACAGATGCTTCATTGCGGTCGCGTAAATCATGGTCGCGTGTCATATTCGTCTGCATACAGATCCGTCCGAGCCTTCCTTTGCTTCCCTGATTCCGATCGCGAAACCATTCATTCCCGTCTGGGTCGTTTCCATATATATCGCGACAGCCCGACCGCGATCATTCTATGACTTTGTTTTCCGTTTCCCGTGCAGCGTGGTAGTTCGGAAGTGCGTGTCCCCGTCGCTCCAGGAGGCAATTAAGGTGGTGCCCTCCAATGTTGTCGCGGACATCGTCGCTGGACGTGAGGCCGCGCATGTGGCGTTTGACGGTTTGGTTGGATGCAAGATGGTCGCGTTCTGCATCTGGAACGTGTGAGTACAGCGGTGCATGTTGTAGGCTGGTTCTGTTTTGCGTGCGGGATTGCAGATGATTGCTGATGCCTTTCGTCGTGTCTCATGCAATCATGTCAGGGAAGTGAGTGACAAGAAGGCCTCCAACGCGGGCATGTTGCTGCTATTGCGGCCGGACCACCTGGGGCTTGACGCGACCGCACCCTGGAAAACTCGCTTTGTCCGCGTCTGTCACCCCACTGCCGCGGCTGAACATCTTGCCGCGGTGGACCAGATTGTCAAGTACGTCTGTTGCAGAGGTGCTGTTTTTACGCATGGTTGCTATCATACATCTGTGTCTAAGAAAAGTATTTTGAACCGTGCAGGTGGTTTCACGGTCGCGTCTGCCTCTACTACGGGAACGACTCGGTCCAGTGCGTCCGGGCAGGGCAGCTTGGCGAGCCGACGCGCCTCGTGGACCTGGTGAGTTTGTTAATGTTCGCGATACATATGTCGCGTTTCCTGTGGCCGCGTTTGTCATCATCTCCGAGATTTAACCCTTCATTCCGACCCCCCTGTTTCCTTTCAGGACATCTCATCCTGGAAGGCCCCTTGCGGTCCACTCGCATGTGGGTTCGCGTTCGACAGAGTTCTCAACGACCTTGACGCGGTTGTTGGACACGAACCGGCTCCTCGCATCGCCAAGCCGATTGCTAGGACGCTGACAACATTGCGGCAGGATGCGAAACGTGCAGCTGAAGAGCTCGCGTTCAGGTCCCGGTGCGGCATCGCGGACGGTCATGGGGGGGATGCCCACGGCGGTGACCGCGAGAGGTCGCACGAACAACCAGCGGGATCACACGTTTCCGGTCGTGATAACGTCGCTCTCAACACAGCTCTTGCGCTCGCGAACACAGGGGAGGGGGACCAGGGGAAACCGGACAAGAAGGAGGAGGGCTCGAGCTCTGACCGCGACGAGGACGCCGCTGTTAACGCGCAGGAGGGTGGGGGTGACGAGAAAGCAGAGGAGGAGGCCGACGAGGGCGAGGGACACGGTCGCGATCAAGGGGATGCCGCGGAGGATGACCAGCGCGGTGATTTGGAGTTGGAGGACTCGGATGAGATGGAGGACGAGGACGACGAAGAGGAAGAGGAAGAGGAAGAGGAGGAGGAGGTGCAGGAAGTTGCGGCCAACAATGCCGGGCGGGCTGCGGCCGCGGTAGCGGGTGCAGGGAAGAGTATTCGCGGTCTGCAGGCTGTGCTGTCCCCCCGCCCCGGGAGCGCGACCCCATCGGGCGAGTGCGCGGGCAAGAGTCCGGTCTTGGGCAAGCGGAAACACTCGGAGCTGGTGAAGATGGCTCCTGAGAAGCTGGCCGCGGAGATCCTCCGTTTGAACCAGCAGCTGGAAAATCAGAAGCGCAAGCTGGACGAGGTCGCGTCCGCGGTGCCCGGTGCTGAATTCGCGGTGGTGATCACGCAGAAGTACGAGGAACTCGAGTCCACGGTGGAGAAGGTGCTAACCCACGTGCAGAACACGGACCGGGTGATTCGCAGGGAAGCCAAGCTGGCCGCGAAGGCCAGGTCGGAGAATCGCGACATGCGGGAGATGCTGAAACGCGCTGCGGTCCGACTGGAAGATTGCGCGGGGAGCATGAAGGGGGTGGTTGTGGACTCCATGGAGAACGCCCAGAAGAAGCTCACGGGCGAGGTCGCGCGGAAGATCGACGGCGCGTCATCCAACATCGCGGGTACCGCCGAGAAAGCGATCACAAATAGTGGTGTCACGAGCTCCCTCAACATCATCATCGCGATGCTTTCCGGGCGGGCGGCACCCCCACAGGTCCCGGTTGGAACGCATGGGCAGGTGGTGGACGAGGTCGCGGAGAAGGAGGGTGGGAAGAAGGCCGCGGACAAGGAGATTGGGAAGAAGGCCGCGGACAAGGAGACAGGGAAGAAGGTCGCGGACAAGGAGACAGGGAAGAGGGTCGCGGACAAGGAGACAGGTAAGTGTGAGAGCAGCAGGGGTGGGAAGCGCCAGAAAGGGGTCGCGATCCATTCCGTCATCGACATCCTTAAGACTAAAGGGGGCGCGGTCGTCGATCGAGTTCCGGGAAGCACCAGGGGGGCTGCTGCTGATGCTGGACCACCGCCTGCGACCTCGGGTGTGGAAGCTGGTAAAGGCAAGGCCAAGGTCGAGGACGCCCCGCCCGCCTCCACCACCACCCCAACCGCCATCACCACCGCGATTGTGCCCGCGTCAGGCAACACCGCCGCGGTCGCGCCAGGACAGCCGGGACCCAGCTCTATCGCCCCTGCCATCCCCCCCTCTGCAGATGTGAAGGCGAAGAATCAGGGCCGCAGTGGTTGTAAGCCTCCTGCAGCCGCGGTGAAGACTGAACGCGACGACGACGATGACTCTGACGCGGACGATGAGGTTGAGATGGTGCTGCAGAGGTTGTGCGGGCCAAGCGACACCAGCGGCGCAGGCGGCAAGCGCAAGGGCTGTGGGATCCGCCCTCTGCCCAGGGGTGGGGAGGGGATGGTGGGCGAACCGTGGCTGGGGGGGAGACGTCGCTGGCTCGGACATCACTCTCTCCAAGAGGTGCAGTACCTGACCGCGATCGCGGTGATGTGTTACGCCAAGAAGATAGACCCCGGGCTCAAGCTGACTGCGCAGCAGAAGAGTGAGTGGGCCGAGGACATCTCCGCGGCCGGGACGATGTGCACCGGGCTTTTCACCACCATGCACCTCCGCAACCTTTGCGGCAATGTTGACAGGTACGGTCATCTGATCGCTCATTGGTTTCCCCAGGATGACCTAAACGCGGTCACACTCGTGCCTAACCATGTTGCGTGTTTCCCCATGCTTGCAGGTACCACCACATGTTCAAAACATACCGCGACCTCACCCGCCGCGGGTCCCCGATCAGCAACGCGATAGCCTGGGCAGCCGCGGTGGGGAAGGAGGCTGCAGATGAGGAGCCCGATGTCACCGGCGCCCAAGTGGGCCTGTTCGCTGGTGCGGTCGCGTGCGCCGTCGCGATGGTGTGGGAGACCTGCAACGGCAGCGAAATCGAGTCTGTCGCGGATGCTGGATACTCCGCGGCGCAGCTTGCTGGCACGCCAGAGGAAATGGCCCGCGGTCACGCCACGATCGTGACCGCGGTTTTCAAGTGGGCCAGGAAGGAGAATGCTCGCGTGCAAGCCCCTGAGGTCACACCAAAGCAGATCGCGGAGAAGATTGAGACCGCGGTCGTGAACCGTCTCGGTGCGCGACTTGGCGACCCCACAGTAGTCGCTATGGTCGCGCACGAGGCAGTAGACGTGCTGATGTCCTGGTGCGACTGCAAGATCGCGGCCAAGGCGATGGAGGCCAACGGGCTCTACCTCGCTTTGCCAGAGAAGCGGCTGTCCGCGAAGAAGAGGTCCGGGTGAAGGTGGTAGTTGGAGGTTGTTAACTCAGATAATAAAGACACTTGTTTGTGTGGTCGCATGAGACTCTTGATAGTGTAGCTAGATTGGCCACCCTGCTTGAGATTTTCTCGCGGTGGTCATTCTGTCTATGCTTTGTACTCCCCCCCTTTCTTGTAATTCAACTCTTTTGCTTCTTTCGCGGCCAATGTTATGCGCAAATCCACCATTGGCTATGACACAATATCACCATTCACAGCGCGGTTGGGTTCGCGCAAGAGCACATAGCGCGGGCGGTATGTATCGCTTATGCGACCACCTTAAACGCGCATGTTTGTTTGTACAAACTGTACAAACCACGCAATTCGACCGCGGTACAATGAGCTCCGGAATTTAGCAGTATGGTTCTGGGTTTAGCACTTAGAAACAGAATCTACGCTGATATCCCAACGCGAACATAGTACGATCACTCAATCACGCTAGCGGGGGCATCTGGGCACAGTACTGAGGCCACGCGACCAGAAACTCTGACGCGGGAAGAGAGGCATCAATAAAGCGGTCGCGTACAAGCATCCACTTCACCCGCAACTGCACCTCCGCAGGGGAACCCTTCTTCAGCTCGCTCAGGGACACGTCAACACTCTTCTTCTTCACCGCGATCCCTTCCGACACACCCGACATGCCCACGGTTACAGACACAAGGTCGAGCTTGTCGAGCACAACCGCGAGGTTGTCCCCTTGCTCCACCCTGTGGGCGACGAAGTCCATGACTCGCTTGACACGGTTGATCGCGTTCGGGCCGCCTCCCGCCTTCCCAATGAGCTCGGCCAACCGCGTGACTGCACCGCGGGGCTGGGCGAGGAGCGACTCCGGACTCTCTCCGACCAGCGGGTGCGTGGACTTGTACAGCTTCCATGCGTCCGATGGTTTGGCCGCGTCGACCCATGGCTGCACGATCGCGTCCCTAATCGTCTCCTCCCTTGTTGGCTGTGCGGGTTTTTTCCACGTACCCTGGTCGGTGGTCGGTTCCGCCTTTGCAGGACCGGCCGCGGCACCTGGAGTGTGTGCTGCGGGCGGCTCTGAGCTGCTCATGGTGAGACGCGACAGCTGGGCCTCCAAAGCATTCACGCGCTCGTCCTTCGCGACCAGCTGCCTGTCGCGATCCTCCAGCAGCCCCTCCAGCTCTTGCACCCGTTTATGTGTCGCGGCCAGCTCTACGCCCAGCCTGGTGTTGTCCGCTTGTGAACGAGTCAGGTACTCAGTGAGGACGGTCACCTGGTTCTGCGCGTCCATCCTGGTACTGACCTCCTGCATGGACAGAACGCGACCGCGGACAGTGATGGTTGGGAAGTGACATAACAGCCGGAAGGAACACGCGACCACGCAGTACTCACCGCGGGCTGTGTCAGAGTAGGTGTGTTGCGCTGTACTATGGCGAGTTGATTCGCCAACGAGACATCTGCAGCCCACGACGCAAATTCCTCCGTCTGACATAGCGGGTTGTTGACCACGTACGGGTGTTCCGGCTGGTGAATGTAATACATCGCCAGGTCTTGCGCGACCGCCATCCTAGCCTCCCCATCCAGCTCCTTGAGGATGTTTAGCCCCGCGGTGTCCTGCTTCTCCGGCTTCTGCTCTTTGACCATCTTGCGGTTGTACTCCTTGCACTGTGACAAGAAAACAACGCGGTAGTGAACGCGGTGCTAGAGGGTTGTGGTCGCGTGGAACAGTTATGCGCGTCCCAGACATACCTGTTTCTGTCCTTTGTCCTCGGCGGCCCAGGGGAAAATGTGCTTCTTCAGTAGCTCCTCCAGCTTCTCGCTCACCGGAACAGTTGCGCGACCCAGGAAGTAGTCACCGTCAACCCCGGTGAAGCCCGCCTTCAGCAGCACGGCCTCCCTCGGAATGGTTGTGAGGTAGTGCTTAGTCATCACGTCTATGAAGCGCCAACCCCCCAGCCTTGCCAGCTGATCCGATGGCATTCCGTCCACGGACGCGTGCTGCGCCCCCCCAGCCCTGGTCGCGTGTACAACACGCGAGCACGTGATTCCCGCGTCATCGAGAATCTTCGCCGCCCAGTCGTGATGAGTCGTGGGCGGTATCTGCTTTTCGGTGCCCGCGCAAAGGGGGAAGAATAGGTACTGATCGTACCACGTCGAGGGTTCCGTGAAGTCGAGAGGGGGGGCTATGTCTTCGTAGAGAATGGGAACCAAGTCGTACACCCAGTGCAGCCACAGCAGCGTGGCACCGACCGCGCACAGCGTCCAGTCTATGTGCCTGACAGCAGATATGTAGTTGAGCGAGAAGTCCTTGTTTGTCTTGCCAGTCCTGCACGCGCAGACAAACATGAACGCGTTCCTCACTGGATCGGTCTCGGATTTTGCGCCGAGCTTCCACATCATCATGTCTGGAAGCTGTAGGTTTCTGATCGTGCACCCGCGGGCCAGGGTGTGATGACCGAGCACGGTCATCGTCCGGATGCAGAGGTCGCGATGCATAGCCTGCGTGTAGGCTTTCTTGGCCAGTTTGAAGCTGATCAAGATCGCGTCCATGCTGGTCTTCCGCATCATCTTCTTGAACTCGTCCGGGGTGTATGTGTCCGCGGCCGTGCCCCGATGGCGATCCACGTGTTCCCTGCGCATCAATTTGATCGATAGCGCGAGTGTTAGTTGACGCGGTACTGTTGGGCATTGAACGCGTTCATGGAGTACGTATACTTACGCGATAAACCGCTTGTACTGGTCGCGTACTTGAACGCGGACCCAGATGCGACACTCCGCAAAGTCGCGCAGCAGGTTCAGAACGGGTTTCCTGAAGATGGCCCCATCCAGCTTGATGAGCATGTTCAGAGCCTTCAGACGCCCCATCAGCATTGCAGGGGTGCACTGGCGTCTCTTCTTCAATGTCTTGTCGGGCCGCTTCAGTGTTGCCATCCTATCCGCCTGTGCGACAGTCTCGTTCGCCAGGAATGTCACGTATTTCCTTAGCCGCCACGGATTCGTCTCAGGGCCGTGGAACCACTGCTCGTCGCCCTCCGCCAACTTCCACTCACCACCCATGTCCTGTTCGAGCGCGGCCCCAATCTCGTCGGGGTTCGCGTTTCTCAACGCGGCCTCCTCACCAAACCTACCCGCGTCCAGTTTAGGCAGCTCGTGCGCCATAAACCGCTTGTACTCGGTGGCCCAACCGCGATACTTCTTCAGCGTGGCCTCAGAGACACCGTAGAGGATTCCGTAGCACATCTCGCGTTTCGCGGCCGGCGTGTCGTCCACGCCAAGCCGGTTCCAATCCGCAATAGGGACCTCATCGTCCCTCCGCGTACCCCGCACCCGTTCGTTGTCTTCTGCCTCATCCTCGTTGAGCGCGGACAACGAGTTCGATAGGTATGCGTCGTCATCGTCGTTCCAACTGTCGTCCGCTTCGTCATCGTCGTCCGCGTCATCCTCATCGCTTGGACCCTCGCTCCCCTCCCGGGAGCCGTTGCGTGCCGTGTGAGGCACGACATCCACTCGCCGCCTCCTTATGCGCGGTCTATTAACTGGCCCGTTCCCGGTACCGCCTTTGCCCGTCACCCCAGGCGCTCCTTGCCCGTTCGCACTACCCCCGTTCGATCCCACACCTGTCCCTCGTCCCGCGCTCGCTCTCCCACCCCTTCCTCTCGCTCCTCTCCCTCTAGCCGCGTTCCCTCTCTCACCTGTCCCTCTTCCCGCGTTCCCTCTAGCACCAGTCCCTCTTCCTCTTCCCGCGTTTCCTCTCGTACCAGTCCCTCTTCCTCTTCCCGAGTTTCCTCTAGCTCCCGCTCCACGCCCCGCGTTGGTCGCGTTCGTGGTTGGTTGCTCACCTACACCGGTCGCGTCCGCTGCGGTAAGTTGCGTCGGGGCGCGGATGTGGACGTCCGGGTTTCCCGGCAACAGTGAGTTCACGTTCCATATTGGCGGCGAATGTGCACGCGCGGTTGCATTCACCGCACGCCCAAAGCCATCGGCTACCGCGTTTGATGATGGGCCGTCTGTTCGCGCTAGTGTGTCCACACCGACAGCTACCTGCTCTCTAGGGTCTGGAGGGGCTTGCACAGTCGGCTGGATTTCCGGATGGATCGCGCTGGGGAATGGAGTTGACGGCGCAACTGGAGGCGTCGCGACATATGCTGGTGCGTGCACCATGGGGTCCGGTTGAACGCCGATGTACCCGTACCTGAACCCCACATTCGCGTACTGCGGCCCTACGAAGCCACGCACAGGCATGCCAAAGGGCTGGCTTGTCGCCATGGACGAGGACGCGATGTGTTGTCCATGAGGCGTGGATACTCCATGCGCGGTCAAATCATCCTGCTGATTTTGAAACGCGACCGACGCTGCCGCAAACGGAATGTGTGACCGCGGTGCTAGGTGGAGCCCATTGACCAGTTGTTGTGGGTGGAACGCGGGCATATGCGCCCCTACAACCACGGGCTGCACGTATGGGGTGCTCCATGTGGGGTTCAGCGCGTGCACCCCTTGCACGGGAGGGGGTTGCGGTTCTGCATCATGGAGTTGCTGCGCGGATGTGTTGCCTGTAGCATTGAAGGAGTCGTGAAGTATTGGCGCCGCGACGCGATTCACCGTATGCATGCAGCGTGCGAGATTGCCCCTACTCCTATTCACCGCGTGCGGCAACATGATGAGCGGTCAGTACTTGAGCACCCGGGTGATTATTAGAACCACATACATCGCGATCGTGGTGATCGCGGACACTCATGCTAGGCACACAACGTAACCGCGGACACTGGTGTCCCGTTTCTCGTCTAAGTCCTGTGAATGCAGTTGGTCCTGAGAGGGAAGAGCTTGGTGTGCAACTGGCGAGCGAGAAGCGAAAATGTGGGCATGCTCGGAGTATTGACCTGACGTTGCGTGGACGTGCTTGACACGTTACCGCGATCGCGCCACGCCCAAACAGCGACAGCTGTGTGGCTCGTTCAACTTGCTGCACGTGTTAGCCAGCATGTAGCCTACCAGATCGCGCCAGGTGTTTCCGAACCGAATCTCGCATCGCGCTCTCCAACCCTATCCTTGTGCGAATCCGGTTCGCGATAAGTTGCAAGACTTCACAACCAATGGTAGCACTCCTTTTTTTCGCGTGCGCGCAGTTGCATGCGCGGAATGTCCAGCTTGTCAATGTTAACGACCAATCGCGTTCGTTTTTTCCCGAGCCGCGCATGCATCGGCGCGTAAGAACGAGATGGGTTCTTTCGGTTTTTTGGGGCTTGCGGAGTTTTCGGTGGCTGTCTGGTGGGTTTCACTGAGCCACGCAGGGCCGCGCAAGGTCCAAAACTGGTCGATTTCTGGAGGGCCGACTTTGCCTCACGCGTCCCCCGATGTCTCCGCGCCCCGTGCATCCCAAGGCGTGGGCGGGGTTTTTCCCGAGCCGCGCCGTATGAACATCCAAAAAATTCTGAAAATATTGCGAGTTCTGTGAATTAATGGAGGCTCGACAGCACAGCTCAAATGCTTACCCAAACCGCCAACGTGACTTTGAGGGTCAGGTCAGGTCAGGTCAGGTGGTCTGGGGTTGCATTGTTGTGATTGGAGTAGAGTACCTAGTTATTCCTAGGAGAGTTTTCAAAGTGGCAATCCAGAGGGGCATTCCCGGCATCGGAGTAGCTTGAAATTAGCTCATTACAACATCATGCCCATTCTCTACTTCTCCCAAAGGGGATACTTGTTTAAAGCATTTGGGTCACTTGGTTCTTATAGGGTTTCTGATGATTGTAAACCCTCAAACTTTTGAGCACAACAACATAACGTGCTGGTCACCCTTGTTGGAACATGTCGGAACTGATGGTCTGATACAACATACAGCTATTGGCAGGTATACACACTCATATCCTTAGTGCCAAGTATTGTAGAAGGTAGACACAATCGGTTCGGCAATGGTGCAGCGGTGCCATGATATGTGGACATGACTACTTTGACTGCGTGTGGAGACGAATACATATTTCGACCTTACGGCCTTTTCACACGCGTTCGCATTTGCTTGCCTCATGTTGGAACAACATGAGACATCTGCTGTACACCACTGTACGTGCTCAGCTGCCCGCACCAAACTTTCAACGAGCGACAAACAAACAGAAACTTGTTGGGAAAACCGTCGCACTGGTGACGCGACAGCCTGGCATCCCTGCAGCGAAACCTATCCGATTACACTTAATCCGCACTCCAAGCGTACACTTCTGAAGGGTTTTAACTTCTGTTTCAAAGTACAACAAAAATATAGAAAAGTGTTGTTGGTCATTTCGACACCAAGGGTGTCGCTTGATCATGGCCCATAACTTAGTACCAGTGGTGCCCTTCAACATCGGTGCTGAAGTCAGCCCTACACGCGCATGCGAAGTTTACCAGAAACCCATAACGAACCTATGTTAGAGGTTCATATGCGCATACTAATTGCACTATACGACAGATTTATCGACCAATCTAGCCTATCTGGGAAGGGGGAGGGGGGGAGAGGGGGGGGGGGGGGGGGGGGGAGGGGGGGAGGGGGAGGGTGGGGCTCTAAATAAGCAGGGCGGAAGGGAACGACAGAGAAATCGTTGGGATGTGGAGGTAAGGGGTTGCAAGTATATCAGAATCTAGGTAGTTACCTGTCGAGATTAGCTAGGAAGGAATGTGTTGGATTAGGGCAAGGAGGGGGGTACAATGAAGTGTCGAGCAAATTACTGTACCCCCTAAGGCTAAACCTGTCAAGATAGTATGAGGAATGATAGAACAGAGAAGAGGATTTGCACTAGCAGCAGTTGAGATACATATAGGAAACCCTAATTGGGTTGTACTCGCTATAGAGTACCCCACTGCAGGCTAGACAAACTACACATTTTGACACACCCCCATAGTCAAAGTGGGGTATGATCAGCACAACAAGCAGCAGTTCACAGTTCACATATATAAGCAAAACTAGAGGCTTTCACAGAGGGCAAGTGATGAGGAGGAGGGACTATGAGAGGAGAGGAGGTGGTGGGCGGCAGCTGAAGTTGTTGGCACACGGCGCAACTGGAGCAACTGGCACACGGGCAACTGGAGCAACTAGCACACTGGCAACTGGAGCAACTGGCACACGGGCAACTGGAGCAACTGGCTCCGCGGCTAGACGAGCGACAGGAGCAACTGGCTCACGGGCGACTGGAGCAACGGGCTCACGGACGACTGGAGCGACGGGCTCACGGGCGACTGGCGCAACGGTCTCACGGGCGACTGGAGCTGCTGGCTTCACGGCGGCCACCCCCCCTTCAACCTCCCCCATTGTCCCAAAACTCCCGTTCACACACCCCCTGCTGAACCCTAGCTCCACACCCACGACACCCCCCTAGCGCCACGCCCACGGCTCCCACACATCCACCCCCCTCAGCGGCAGCTGCAGTAGTGGGAGACGGAGGAGGAGGAGCAAGTGACGACACACACACCCGCCACCCCCATACCCGCCACCCCGCAGTTGCACGAGGGCAGGAGGCGGCGGGGGCGGTTCGCGGGCTGCAGGGGCGGTTTGCGGGCTGCAGGGGCGGTTCGCGAGCTGTAGGAGGGGCAGCGCGCGGGCCCCCCGAGGGCGCCACGGCGGGTGATGGGAGGGGGGCCGCGCGCGGGCCCCCGAGGGCGCCTCGACGGGCGACGGAAGGGGCTGCGCGCGGGCCCCTAGGGCGCCTTGACGGGCGACGGGAGGGGGGGACGCACGGGCCCCCAGGGCGCCGCGACGAGGCGACGGGAGGGGGAGACGCGCGGGCCCCCAAGGCGCCGCGACGAGGCGACGGGAAGGGGCGACGCGGGGGCCCCCAAAGCGCCGCGACGAGACGACGGGAGAGGACGGCGCGCGGGCCCCCAGGGCACCGCGACGAGGCGACGGGAGGGGGCGACGCGCGGGCCCCCAAGGCGCCGCGACGAGGCGACGGGAGGGGCCGGCGCGCGGGCCCTCAAAGTGCCGCGACGAGGCGACGGGAGAGGACGGCGCGCGGGCCCCCGGGGGCGCTTCGGCGGGGCAGGTAACCGCCGCGCGCCTCGGGGCGCACGGCGGGCAGGAAACCGCCGCGCGCCCCGAGCGCTCGGCGGGCAGAAAACCGCCACGGGGCGCGCGACAGACAGGACAGCAGCGGAAGCTACCGGTGGGCCCACAGGTTAGGAGCGTGACCGCTCTGATACCATGTCAAGATAGTATGAGGAATGATAGAACAGAGAAGAGGATTTGCACTAGCAGCAGTTGAGATACATATAGGAAACCCTAATTGGGTTGTACTCGCTATAGAGTACCCCACTACAGGCTAGACAAACTACACATTTTGACAAAACCCACTACAGCCTAGATAACAGTAAACATATAATTTGACACACCCCCATAGGCGAAGTGGGGGATAGCAAACACAACAAGCGGTCACAAGACCAGTCAAGAGAAGAAACAAAACAAAGCAAGCTTAGGGTGGATCTCAAGATCACCACGCATTCTGAGCACAAGCAAGCGGCCACAAGGCCAATTCACATGCAGTTTTATAATAGAGCAAGTAGTACAGTGATTACAACCTAGTAACCAGAAACATGCAGGTTTATATATCAGAGTACAAGACAAGATCAAGAGACAAGCTGTGTTGGCTCGTGTGGCCACGTACAAAGGCGAAGCTGGGAACGCTGCTGCAACACTCGCACGGCAAAGGAACGAATTGCAAAGTGCTACGTTCTGCTCGCTAGTCTGACCAGGTAGCGCAACACCCTCCTAGCAGCCCGCCAGTGCGCAGGATGGTACACCAGCTCGAACTGCGTGTCCTCAAGGACGTCACAGCCAAGGGCAAACTCACCCCCAACGGACAGAGGACACGAAGAGATAGAGATGAGACCAGTAAGGTAGGTACGACGGCAAGTAGCGGTAAAACCAGCGAGATCAGCTACTAAGGCAGAAGCAGCAGCAGTCGAAGAAGCAGGTGCAGTCACAAGCGAGGCTAGACTCCGAGGGACAGTCGGGCTGGCAGCACGAGCAAGGTCAGACACAGGGTGAAGAACAGGAGGAAGAGAAGACGGGGGAGGTAACGGCAAGACAACAGGCTCCCGAGTAACACAAGAGGGAGCAGGGGAGGCGGCACAAGACACAGGCTCCCGACGCCCAGTCAAGAAGACGGACAATGGGACGTATCGAGCAGGAGCAGGCAGTGGGGAGGCAGGCGGCGGAAACAACAGAGGAGGAGTAGTACAAGTGGGCGTCGGCTCAGGTAGCCACGACGACGGCTGCTCAAAGAAGATAGACTGCCGTGGCAGCGACTGCAACACACCTCCAGACCCAGCACCTCTAGCGCCAGTACCTCCAACTCCACCAACAAGAGGACTCCTAGCACCCCCAGAGGCAGCACCCCCAGAACTAGCACCCCCAGAACCAAAACCCTCAGCGTCACCACCCCCAACAACACCTAGGCCCCCCAAGTCCGCATCGACAGGCTGTAGAGGAGGCGAAGACGTCCAGGGCGGAAAACCCGGAGGTGTCTCCAAGCGTGGTGAGCGGCGAGAGGTCGCTGTGTCGGCAGCAGTAGGGTGATCCCCCTCGGTCGAGCCAGAGGAGGCAGAGGGGACTACGATACACGGGAGAACAGTGGAGGGGTGCGCATAGGCTATGCTAGTAGGCGCACAAGCAGCGACACACAAAGCCTCTAACTCCC